TTTTTTACCTTTTTTCTTTTTTTTTCTTTTTCCATCTGTCCCCTATTCGACGGTCCCCCTATCTGTCTTCCCCCAGCCCCAAACTGCACCTTTTCCACACCCCTTTCTCCTCTTCTCTTCGTCTTTACTCCCCTGCCTTCTATACCTTCTCTCCTTCTCCCAATGGTCCGTCAGCGTAGGCTAACCGTGGCACCCTTCCGGTTCTCCCCCGCGTTCAGTTCGTTTTCGCCAGCACCAGGATCGAATCGAGTCACTTGACGTTAAAGACTGGAAATCCTTGCCCGTAATTTCGGCGCCGCCAGCTCGCTGGCCCAAGCTAACAGACATGGGCCGGAAATACTCGTTTGCCGAAGAGCGTCAACTCGTCAAGAACAAGATGCGCGCCGCCTTGCGGGTCTGCGCCTACCAGCAATTCCGCTACGTGGTGATCGGAGACTTTGGCCTGGGGAACGGCTACCGAAACCCTCCCAGAGAGCTGGCCGAGCTCTGGAGGGAAGTGTTCCTCTGGGACACGGATCTGCGAGGTCAGTTCCTGGCCATCGTTTTCGTGTTCGAGGACGAGAGGCAGAGCACGATCAAATTCATTCTCGACGACATGGCCAAGAAGAGCAAATCCGGATCCAGGAGCCGGTCTCTGAGCGGCGCCTCGATGCCGTCCCCTGCCGGTGCGAGCAGCAGCAGCAGCAGCAGCAGCAACAACACGAGACACAAGAGCGACTTCGAGATCTTCTACGAGGTTTTCGACGAGATGGAAATCGCGAGAGTGCGTAACCAGATTGATCCGCGGTATGGATTTGCCACCATTATGGGGCATGATTGATCTAGATTCCCGGATCAAGCATGTCTCGAATGTTTGCTTCTTCTTGGCCGGTGTATTACAACGAGGTCTCAACTTGCCGGGACGGCTAGACAGGGGACGAGGGTTCCCCGGACCCAAACCACATACCACATCATGATACGATGCACGCACCTTATTTTTGTAATTGTGACGTTCTGACCGTCTCATTTTCATTTCGTTTTCTTTTGCAAAGCTTGTTAGGAATATGTCACAGGCTCGCAGGTGTTTCTGATTTGGCTTGGTTTTCAGTTCTTGCGGTGGAGCTTTTCTAAAACAAGAGCAGAACCCCCCCCCCCTATTTTCCCGCGCTGTGGCCTTGGATACGCAGGTGTTCTGTATCTATAGAACTGCTTTTCCAGATCAACAGCCGCTTTGACGACACTGAACGCATTGTTAAATAATAAGGTCAGGTCCTCCAAAGGAGGCTCTCGTCTTGCACATGGGTACGAAACACGAAGCTGTCCCATTATCTCTTTCGACAGGGCTAGGAACAGCAGGGGAGGATGCTTATGCTTGGCAGCCCAACTGCCCCAAACTAGCTTCGTGACTGACTGGCGGCATCACCGAGGGTGGACGAATCAGGCACCACATGGATGAAGACAACGATGTCTCGCCGTCTCTCAGCGGCTACGTCTCGTACGAGACAAACGTCGGCCCGACGAGAGACTAGACTGACCGAGTTCCTTACTGCGGCAAGCGCGCTTGAAGCACAGCACGACGTACGGCTCCCGCCGCGTCGTATAGTGAGTGCAGTGAGAACTATCGTCCAGGGAGGTGCAGTCCACCATGTGAATGTGAATGCCAAAAGCCCTTGAAACCGGTCTTGAAGCTGTACATAATTATGTATGTACAAATGTTGCGGCTGACCCTGGCGTCGATCATGCCCAATGTGGAAAAGCCTTGCAGAATCGTTCGGTTGGGGCCACCGCGACGATCTCATCACATCTGATATGTGACTCCTCGATCCCGGTAGTTGGTGCTAAGATGCGCTCAACCAAGACCACCCGTTGTACAGGGCTTGGGTCACACAGCGATTGCCCTTGCAGGTTAGTGGTCGGCGGGGAAATGACCCTTTGTTTGGGAATATCTGCAACAGTCAAGGGTAAGGGTGGGAACACTGCCTTGGAGGTCAGCTGGATGAAAGCCCAGCCTTACATTACGGCAAAGTCCTTTTCCTAGGCGGCTATCTATTCCGGTCTCCTTGGGCCTGAAATTACGCAGTTGGAGGCTGAGAAAGTGAATCTCTTGGCTCACCTGACCTCATTTTCCCTCCCCTTCGGGACCTATCATCGTGGATGTTTGGTCACCAACCTCGCTCGGTGTGATCTCCCGTCGCCCACCGTCGCAGTGTCCTACCACAGCACACAACACTGGACTGCAAGGGGCGTGCTACCTCAGTTTCAAGTCGACAGAACCCCCTGACTTCCTCAGGTCGTGATGATTCAGGTTTCCAGCCATGATCGACGTAAGAGATCTCGGGTGAGCGGCCATACTCCGAGATCGTCGGCCGGCAAGCAAGGATAGGGGGGAACGTTACAACGGACTTGTGGCACATTGCGAGTTGCGGAGCCGGAGTAGTGTAGCTGATTCGTTCCCACCTGCCACGGAGGCGACATGCAGGACGCTGCGGAATAGTATGTTTCCTCTGTTTTGAGACTTTTCGACAATCTCAATCCCATGATTAGGAGTCGACAACGCCCAAAGGCCAAGGCCATGCCATAGCGTGTATGGCCCCCACCCTCGATACCGGCCACTCGTTGAATTCCATTGTCCCAACATGTGTCTTTGTTGTTTCCTCTGAAAGACATGGGACCAGGAGAGCCCTTGCTCAACACACCACTAGTACGGGGAGAACAAGGAGATACCCGGCAGGCTCTCTCTCTCTCTCTCTCTCTCTCGCGGATCGGGTCTCTCGTCTGTGCTTGTGCTCGTGCTTGCTTGTGCTTGGGGTGACGCTGTGACACGGTGACACCGCCCCGGGCCTCGTCCGTCCGTCCGCCTTGCCTATTCCTTGGGGGGTTTTTTTTTTGCAAACCCCTGCTCGCTCCCCCACGGGTACCACATTACACAGCGTCCAACGGCAAACTATGGTGATCTCGATGCGCCGAACATGGGACGAATGCAGAATCCCATGCCGGCCCCATGTCATGCAAACTCATACGCACCCCCGCGAGGTAGGACGCCTCCGTGGGTGGCCCAAAAGATTTCAATCCTCTTTTTCTGTTTCAAAGGCCGGCCAGTCGGTCAACGGGGGCAAGACCATGATGAATTCGCATACCAGATCCAACTGTTCGTCAAGAAACACAACCCATCCCGTATGATATACACGTCTGTCGTCTTTCCGTCGTCATGAACATCAACCATTACCGACCTAAGATACCTCACGATGCCAAAGTTTGCCAAGAGTATCACCAACAGACGGGGATCAGTCAATAGGAAGGCAAGCCACGCACAGTACACAGTAGCAGGCACCGACTAGGCTCAGGGAGTGGAAGAGGACGTATGTGTAAGGTCTGAGACCACGTCACAGCGGGACTCAACGGCACCCAAACCAACCACGAAAGACATGTGTCTTTCCAACGTTTGGCGTGCGTAGACCAGTCAGTCTCGTCTTCCTCCTCTTGGGGACGAGTAACAGCGATAAGCTGCCCATTGGCGGTCGGAGCCAGACACACCTACAAACACAGAGAAAACAGGTCGGATGACCTACTTCTGACATTCGTTGGCCCGCTCCCCAGTATCCGAGTCGCCAGCACGACACCCACACACCCGCACGTCACGTTTTACACAAACCGTACGCGGAGGTTTCCTAATGTGCTGGCATAGCACCGGCCGAAAGAGTTCGACACCCCGCCGGGCCGAACGACCCAGACTGTGTATGTAGGCCAGTCAGTCAGTCAGGCAGTCAGGCAGGCAGGCTGTATGTATGTATGTATGTATGTAGGACGATACATCCCGGTGCGGGACGCCTACCTGCATTAGCATCACAGAATCCTAGCCAGCCGGCCGCGTCGTCGACGGCTTTGCGTTCCTTTCGGCTGCTTCGCATGTCGTTTGCTTTCTGTTGTCATTCATTCACTGTGCACGCGAGACGAGAGACCATGGTGTTGAGGAAAATGCCTGGTTTAGCGCTGGGTTGGAAACGAAACAAAAATGCCATCACTCATCACGCTGTGCTGGGCGCCCTTGAATTCGCACCCCCGACTTTTGCCCCCCTATTTACCAATGGAGACGGCCCCGGAGGCTGTGTCAGTGGACGAAGACAAACAACGATACCGATGCAAACCTGGACTGGAACGATCCGGGTTTGTCGGGTTCCTATACAGGATATATGCCGTGGACCTTACTTTGTCCTGTCTCTATCTACCGTGCGTTTTCGTTTTCTCCTCCGCCCCCCCGGCCGTCTCACTCTCACCAGTAGCCTGGTCGTAAGCCGGTAAAGTTCGACAATACGCCGCCATCTGTCGCGTGGTCTCCCCTCTTTCTCTGTCCCGACAGCTGTGTTCGGAGGAAGGAAAAAAAAAAGAAGCAGTTAGCAATGGTTTCGTTGGACCAGTTCCCGTGATGGTAGGTAGATAGATGGGTGGGTGGGTAGGGAGCTAGGTAGATAGAACGAGAAGAAGAGAGGAGAACAGGATTAGCCTACCTCAAGTTGAACGCCCTTGTGAAGATGGACGAGCCAGTCGATGTAGCTCTGGGCCTCGTTGTTCCGATCCTCCACCAGCATACGCGCAAACTCGTACTCGGCCCCGTCGATGCCTTGACGGGCCAGCTGAATGGCCATGCCCTTGGACCCGCGCAGCAGCTTCAGGAATTCCAGAATGTTCCGCACCTGCGCGTTCAGGTGGGTCGGAAGGACGGGAAGGGAGGAAGTATAGGCGTCGAGGCTCTGCAGGCTCGTCTTGTCTTCGCCGAACAGGTCGGCGATGAGGTTGGGCGACGTCTGTGCGTGGAACCAAATCAGACACTGCTGCCCGTTGTCCACGAGATAGACGCCGCCGGGCTCGACCCGGGAGAACGAGGCCCGGCTGGACGGGGGCAGCTTGAGGTGTCCCGACGCGTCGGGGAACCCTTCCTCCGCCTGTAGGTTGTGGATGGGGATCATCCGAGGGTAGAGGTATAAGCTCAATTCGAGCGGCCCCATCGATCGGATCATCCGTTGCTCGTGCGTCCTGCGATCCGTACTCTCGTTGCCCCCCTTGAACGCCCGGGACTTGATGAGGCCCAGCATGTACATGGAAAGCTCCTTCAGTCGCTCCGGCATCACGAGCTGGCTCGGCGGATGCGCCTGCGTGAGGAAGTTCTTGCGGTAGCACGCCAGGACATCGATCGTCCGCTCGGTGAGGAAGTTCCGAATGTCCTTGAGATTCGCCGACGTGGTCGCCAGCTTCGTGCCCGCCTCCTTGGCAAACATGGTGAAGACGGCGTCCTGGTCGATGAACTTGACGCAATCGCGCGCATTGTCGCTAACACTGGCAATCACGTTGGTGCATCGCACTCTCCGCTGTCCCGAGGCCGTCGTGTACAGAAGCGCAGACTGGAAGTGCGCATCCAGCTTGGAGTCGAGTTTGCCGTCGTAGGTGAAGGTCACGCCGAGAGCCTTGTCGGCGTCCATGACCCCGATCTCGAGGTCGGCGCCGAACGTGTGTTGGACAAAGTTGCCGTGGTAGGCCGAAACCTGCAGTCCCGTCGAGCACCGGACCTTCATAAGGACCTGGAAGCCCGTCTCGCGCGTCACCGCATGCTTGATCTCCTCCGAGAGCTTGGTGTTATCTCGAGCCCCGATGAAGTTGGGGTAGTAGAAAGTCTCGCCACCGGTTGTGGCGGCGACATGACCGATGGTGCCGATATCGAGATATCCACCGGAAGGGGCGGCGAGGAAGAAGTCGGCACCGATTCCGGCCGCGACCATCTTTTCCGTCGTCCTCTTCCAAGCAGGATGTTCTGTCGTGAAGAGCTTCTTGTCGACTTCTCCGCCCGGATGCTTGCCGTCGTCCCTCAAGAACAGGCGACCAGGACCCCACGTCGGCAGTGCTGTGCACGAGCAGATGATCTTGCCACCGGTTTTCTCCAGGGCGGCAACGGCCGAATTGAGGGTGGCCAGAAGGGCAGGCTCTGGGTTCTTGACTGTGGAAAACATTTCCGGCAATCTAGTCAGGAGCGATGTGATCACAGCCCTGGGAAAATATTCGTGAGTTTTTAGACGTCTTCGTATCGTACCCACACAACACACACAGAAGAGACTTACTTTGATTCGTAAGGGTCAATAAACAAGCCGTCGCTCAGGGGGACGAAGGGATCCTCGAGGTCCGGCATGATCATCATTTGGGCTTGGTCGAGGGCCGGCTGCGATGGTTGTCAGAAGGGGATACGCGCTGTACCATACCATACCATACCCATACCACACCCACACACCGTGGAAGACCGTAGCTACTTACGTTGACGTTGTAGAAATGGATGTCCTTGTCGAACGAAACGAAGCCGACCTTTGCACCGAGAGGTATTTGCCGCTTAGGCTCACCGTCCTCGTCCTCTTCTTCTCCCCCGTACAGGGCGGCGAGAATACCTTCACAGAAAGACTCGACAAAGCCCTTCGTGTAGGATTCCTGCGTGACGTCGATGAGGAAGAGCAGGCGCAGGCCGACAGGCTCCCTCGTCCAATACTCCTTAGGCACGACGAACTCGACGGTTCCACGCGTCAGCTCAGGTCGGTGATCTCGGTCCACTCTCACGCCCTGCGGCGTGGTGGCTGCGAAGTACTCGGACGGCGTATCGTTGGGATAGGAGCAGAGGTTGCAGACGTATCGGTTGCCGCCGGACCTGAACATCATGAAAGGGTTGATGTAGGCCCGGCACCGGCGACATCTCGGGGGTCCAACGTCGCCGAAATCGATAACGGGAATCTCGAGCTCGCCTTGCTGGAGCGCGGCCAAGGGTTGCAAGACCAGACCCAAGGGAAGGCCCGTGCTAGCCAGGCCCTCGGCCGTGGCCGGGATGTTATTCATGGTGAGGCGGGCGAACTTCGGGGAGGCGTTTCCCTGATCGAAGGCGACGAACGAGGTCGTGGACGGAGGGGGGACGTGTCTCTCGAAAGTCGGGTAGATGTTCTTGAGGTAGAACTCTTGGAGGGCATCCCGCGAAAGGGGGATGCTCGGCATCTCGTCGGGAGATACCTGCTGCTGACCCGACGCCGGTACAAAGGCGGGCGACGGCCCAAGCCCGACTCCATTAGCGCCGGGGGTTGGCACTGGCGAGGTGAAGGGATTCGGCGACAAGGGCGTAGCAGCAGAGACGTCGACGCCTGCCTGGGCGGGGAATTGGTTCATCTGGGCCACGCCCTGGGGGTTGATGAATTGTCCACCGACACCGACACCGACACCGACACCAACACCACCAGGAGACACTGGCGAGACTGGACCGGGAGTGTTCAGGAACGACGAAGCGGGGGTCCCAGGAGGAGGCATGCCGCTGAAAGGCTGAGAGGAGCCCGCGGCGTCGACCTGATGGTACGCATGGCGGTCCTTCTTTTTTCTCCTTGCGTGCACCTCCCCTGCCCCGACGCCTCCACCCAGAGACATGGACGCCATCTGTGCGGACAAGGTGGCATCTTGAGGGCTCTGGGGCGGGAAGCCGCTCTGCCCAGGCGGCGGTGCGCCATATGCTTGTTGCTGTTGCTGACCAGGCGGTGGTGCGCCATACGCAGGCTGTCCCTGCCCTTGTCCCTGTCCTTGTTCGTACGGTGGACTGGCCACGGGTGGTTGAAACTGTGGGGGAGCGGGTTGTGTCGTTCGATTGGGGTCGGAGGGATCGATCGGCTCGCCCTGCCCCAGGTGATGATACATCCCGAAATCCATGGCTGGGGGTCGTCTAGGGGGTCGGCGACCGAAGCTGTTAACGGGTGGGATTCACTCGCGGCGGTGCAATTGCAAAGGACCAGAGAAGCGATGGGATAGACGTAGAGATAAATAGAAGGGGTATACAATACGTGTTGCGTAGGTACAGATAGATATAATAATGATGCCAGGTGGTGCGGGTGCGGTGCGGTGTGGTGTAGTTGAGAGATCGCGAAGGGCACTGGAGTGTAGAGTAAAAAGATAAAAGAAATTGCCCACTACCACCAGTATGGCATCATAGTCGAGAGGACAGGAGGGCTTGGAGCCTGCGTTTTCGCACGAATTGAGAGTTTTGGTCTTTGTTGTTCCCGTCTTTTACAAAGCACGAAGCATACGGAGGTAATTAGATATCGTCGGGATCTCCTTCCACATGGAAATCATTGGGTGGGGGGAGGGAAGCTGCCACGATTCACTCCGAAGTTTTTCCATCCCTGTGGTCAACCTCAACGGTTGAGGTACACCGAGGTGCGTACCGGGTACCTTATCCGTGCCCACCATTCCTGTTCTTATCGCAAGGTACCTTAAAAGTCGAGATAGGGGGCGCAATACTGTGGTGCATATATTCTTAACAAAATATACCCGCTGCTTCAAAGTACCGAAACCTGTATCCACTAGGTCCAACGATTGACCAATAAGGCAGCGGCACACACCTAGCCTACATACCTACCTAAGGTACCTAAATACCTAGGGTGGGAACCGGTCCAGTACCTAGGTACCTTACCTCATGCATTTAGACGCGGTTGCCGGTTTTTTGGTCAGTCCGCGCAACTACTTCGTGCGATTGTACATACAAGACATGTAAATCTGACCATCAACAAACCTAGAGAAAGGCAAACCACTTCTCAGTGTACGGCCAGCCAGCGGTACTCCTTAGGCTACTGGCTCGAAACTCTTAACAACCAGTCCCGGCCGGCCCTTATCAGACTTTCCCCCCTTCGCCGACATCGATACTCGCCCGAGCAGAATCCATCCCTCTCGCCCATAGGAGGATGCCTTGCGCATCATAACGACTCCAGCCATCATGTTCACCTTTTGTCCTTTGCAGGGCGCCCAGTCCGAGTCGACCGCGTCACAGTCGATCCTGGAACTAGATGGAGGTGTCAAAGTCCTGATAGACATAGGATGGGACGAGTCCTTCCATGTCGAAAAGCTTCGGGAGCTTGAGAAGTGCGTCGCGCTGGTTGCATTTGACTGCCAAAGACCAAAGAGAAATGGGAGAATCCGTTTGTGGTCCGATCATCTACTAACCATGTCATTTTCTATGCATCTCTAGGCAAGTTCCGACACTATCGCTCATCCTTCTTACCCACGCGACTACCTCACATCTCGCCGCCTTTGCACACTGCTGCAAGAATATTCCCCTCTTCACAAGAATACCCGTCTACGCCACAAGACCAGTCATTGACCTGGGTCGCACGCTGACCCAGGACCTATACTCTTCTACCCCTCTCGCTGCGACAACCATACCGCATACCTCTCTAGGCGAAGCCGTCTACTCGTACTCCCAACAAACCGTCTCCGAACACGAATTCCTCCTCCAAGCACCGACCCCAGAAGAGATCACTCGATACTTCTCCCTTGTCCAGGCCCTGAAATACTCCCAACCGCACGAACCTTTACCCTCGCCCTTCTCGCCTCCTCTCAACGGCCTCACCATCACGGCCTACAATGCCGGTCACACCCTGGGCGGAACCATCTGGCATATTCAACACGGCCTAGAGTCGATTGTCTACGCCGTCGACTGGAACCAGGCGAGGGAGAATGTCTTTGCCGGTGCGGCTTGGCTGGGCGGGGCCGGCGCGGGAGGGGCAGAGGTCATCGAGCAATTGCGCAAGCCCACCGCCTTGGTGTGCAGCAGTCGCGGCGCCGACAAGGTCGCCCCGCCCGGGGGGAGGGCCAAGCGCGATGAACAGCTCGTCGACATGCTCAAGCTTTGCCTGAGTCGTGGAGGGACCGCGCTCATCCCCGTCGACTCGAGTGCCCGCGTCCTGGAACTGGCCTACCTGCTGGAGCACGCCTGGAGGACCGATGCGGCGGCTAAGGAGGACAGCGTCCTCAAGACCTCCAAGCTGTACTTGGCCGGCCGCAACATGTCCAGCGCCCTGCGCTACGCCCGAAGTATGCTCGAATGGATGGACGACAACATCGTCCGAGAGTTCGAAGCCACCGCCGACGGTCTGCGCAAAACGAATGGCGCGGACGGGAAGCACTCCGGGGATGCGGCGCCCTTCGATTTCCGCCATGTGAGATTAGTGGAGAAACGGGCCCAGATCGAAAAGCTGCTCAGCCGAAGCACCGACAATGTGCAATCCGGAGGCCGCGTCATCCTGGCCAGCGATGCCAGCCTGGACTGGGGGTTTTCGAAGGACCTGCTGCGAGGTCTCGCCAGGGACTCGAGGAACCTTGTCGTTTTGACCGACAAGCCAGCGCTGTCGGCGACGGACCGGCCGTCACTTGCGAGAACGCTCTGGGAATGGTGGAAGGAGCGTCGGGACGGCGTGTCCGTCGACCAAACGGCGAATGGCGACAGCATCGAGCTCGTATACGGCGGCGGACGCGAGTTGACCATTGACAATTCGAAGCGGCAGGCTCTCGAGGGGGAAGAACTGACGATATATCAACAATGGCTCGCAACGCAGCGGCAGCTTCAAGCAACCTTGCAGACCGGGGGAGCAACGGCCTTGGAAGCCCCTGTAGACGCGGCCGACGAGGCGTCATCCGAGTCATCATCCGACTCGGGCGGCTCTGACAATGAACAGCAAGGCAGGGCCCTCAATATCTCCACCACCATGGGACAGGCGACTCGCAAGAAGGTCGTCTTGAGCGACAAGGATCTGGGCATCAACATCCTCACCAAGAAGCGCGGCGCGAGCGATTTCGACGTCCGGAATAAGCGCGGCCGTGAGCGGTCGTTCCCGCTGGCCATACGGCGAAGGCGCGACGACCAATTCGGCGACATGATACGGCCCGAAGATTACCTGCGAGCCGAGGAAAAGGAAGAAGACGTTCAAGTTCCGGATGCCAATGCCGACGCCGACGCCCATGCCCATGCCCATGCCGCACGCGGGAACGAAGACGATAATCGATTAGGGAAGAAGCGGAAATGGGAGGACAACGCCGGCAAGGGCTCGAGCAAGCGACCGAATCGGAGGAAGAACGGGTCTACGGACGATCAGGAACCGCGGGTCGCATCCTCGGACGGCCCTATGGCGGACGACCTAGACGATGTGGAAGAAGAAGACGTCGTGGAGGAGGGGGAGGAGGTCCAGGGTCCGGCCAAACTTGTCAGGACAACCGAAACGGTCATGGTGAACTTGCGCATCGGCTTCGTGGACTGCAGCGGCCTTCACGACAAGAGGACTCTGAACAACCTGATCCCGCTGATCCAGCCAAGGAAACTGATCCTTGTCGGGGGCACGCGCGAAGAAACAAAGACATTGGCGACGGACTGTAGGAAGCTTCTGGCGGCCCAGATCGGAGCGTCCGACGAAGGCGTGGTGGACGTTTTCACGCCCGAGACGGGCGAGCTCGTCGACGCCAGCGTGGACACGAACGCCTGGGTCGTCAAGCTGTCGGACTCGCTTGTGAGGAAGCTGAAGTGGCAGAATTTCCGCGGTCTGGGCGTGGTCACCATCACGGGTCAACTCGTCGGGGAACCGCTCTCTGTCGAGGACGGGACCAGCAGCAGCAGCAGCAGCAGCAACAAGAGGCAGAAAACGGGCGACGATACGGGCAAGACAGTTGGTGAGACAAATACCGAGGAGGAGCCCGACGGCCGCGTCCAGGTGGTGCCGACGCTGGACACACTTCCCATGAGCATGGCGTCTGCCGTTCGCGCGGCGGCGCAGCCGCTGCACGTCGGTGACCTGCGTCTGACGGATCTGCGGCGGGCCCTGCAGGGGGCGGGCTTTGCGGCCGAGTTTCGGGGCGAGGGAACGTTGGTGGTGAACGGGAGCGTGGCGGTTCGGAAGACTGGTACGGGCAAAATCGACGTGGAGGCCGTGGGGGTGGCGGATGCGACGTCGGTTGTGCAGCATAGGAACACGTTGTACGAAGTGAAGAGGATGATTTACGATGGATTGGCAGTGGTTGCAGGCGCATAGAGAGAGGGAGCGGGAGAGGGAGAGGGAGAGGGAGAGGGAGAGGGAGAGGGAGAGGGGGAGAGAGATGGGCCCCATGTATGCTACCGAAGGTTGGGCGAAGTACCAGGGAGACTGGGCTTTTGATGTTCGGGGTGTGCGCTGAGTACCTCCACGTGTAGCTGTACGGATGATCGTATTATATCCATGGATTAAGTAGATTTTGGACGACGATAAACTGTGCAGAGTGACTACCAGCCCTACTGTGAAGCTTGAAACGGGGCGACGACGACTTGATATGGCCGCTCGACTCCTGGTGATTACTCTGCTCCACATCCGCTCTCTCTCGACCATGCTGAGATGGCAGTTGATAGATATTCCCTCGAACCCGACTTGGCCTTCTATTTTTCCTTCGGTCCCCGAATAACAAAAGAGATATAAGTACACGTGTACGCGGATTTTATAAGACCGGACACGATCATCTAGTTGTCGTCATTCGAGATGATCTTAATACAATGATTGCCATCTCCGTACGTCAGTCACATATTCGAATAGATCTAGCAAATGACCGATGCTCAATCCAGAGACCTAATCAATACCACATACTCCGAGATTCTCACCCACCCGAACGAAGCCAGATAAATAAAGCAGGCGGAAGACGGCCATCTCGGCAACATCCACCGTACATTCTTCTCGATGGTTGACTTAAGGTAGTGGCAGGTTCCGAAGATACACGTACAAATACTACCACTCTATACTACACGTAGTGTACTTCATCAGCGACCCCATAGAAATAGGCGAGCATAGCTTGTGATCCTGAGTGGACGACATCGACCCGAGAGCATGGGAAAATCCCGGTCGTATTTAATGGCGGCAAAGGATTAAGATCCCTTCTTTATTGGCCAACTCGAATTAGGAACTAGTGTACCTTCGCCAATTAGTTGGCGGGTCGGGTACCTTACGTGTCTACCTTAGGGTCCTTCGCTTCCAGTCCATTTTCGTAGTATCTACTTGTAGGTACGGCCAAAGGCATCATCCATCCAAATGAGCGCGAACCCCGTGTTCTTTCCGACCATGATTGGGTAATTGCCGCTAACGGTCCACTGGACCTGCCCAATTTCCTTCAATTTTACGACCCCACAGGTCACTTGGTCCGCTGGTCGGCGGTCCGAAAAGAGGGAGGCCGCTTGTCTGTCACTTCGTCCTCCTCTTGCCTTCTAGGTTATTATCTTCCTGTTGACTACCTTATTACAGAGTAGGTACATAACATACTTTATACAGTACGGACAGTAATTACTTCGTACTCCATAGGTGACCCGGCTTCTTGAGCCTGACCTTGCATTGCACCCTTTCTATCCAATACCATCTCTACCTTACTTTTAAGGTATTTATCTTTGTCATCTGGTCCGTTTCTTCGTTTGATTCGTAGGTACGGGGACGGAATGTACCTTACCTTATTGAGTGCGGAGTACGTTGTACAGCCATTCGCGTATACCTTTAGATACCTGTCTCCCAAGTATTACACGTAGTATCCTAATACCAAACAGACCCAACCTCCAATGGACCTGCCAACTATCGCGCTCTGATCTTGTCGACAAGGAAAAACAGAAAAAAAGAGAGAGAAAAAAGGAGAAAGCCTTGATCTATTCATCTTCCCCGCCCCCAAAAAAGAAGTAAAACCTCTTTCACCTTTTCACCTCCAGACCTCTCTCTCCACCTCCACTCTCTCCCCTCTCTCCCGCGATTGCCAAGTCGCCAAGTTTCCCAGTTGGTTGCAGGTGACGAGGCAGTCTCGGGAGCCACCCGACAATCCTCCCAGTTGTTTTCTTCCCGCCTCTTTTCTGCACGTCTTCTTTCACCCTCAAACCCCTTTTCTCGCCCTGATCTGTCCCTTTCCATTCCCTAAACGTCCCCCGCCTTAACGATAACGGGATAACGGGCACAGTCTCAACGCGAAGACGACGACGTCGGCAGCGGGAATCGGCCGATTGATCATTGCCTCGGGGGCAGCACCCGAACAGATAGACGAGGGAAAATCGAGAGAAACCCCAGAAGGCCGACGATCACGACATTCCTTCCCTACCGCCCAACGCCTTCGGCATCACTCGAATTCGCACCCTTTATTCAGCTTTGTTTCCCCGTCTCACATCACAGACAGACACACACGCACACACATACACCACTCTGTACCACCATGCCCACATTTCTCACCCACGAGAAGTCGCCCGTTTACCCGTCCAACACTGACTTCCTGGACCTTGACCCCAACAACACCCTCAGTCTCGCCAGGAAGCGTGATACCGCAGGCACCGTGGACACATCAAATGGTTATCCCCATTCCATCTCCCTCCACAATCATCGTCATCCTCAACCCACCCATGATAGCTTCGACGAGAGCTCCTTCTCTTCGGCCCATACCTCCGAAATCTCATATCCGAATCCCGCCCAGGTGAATGGAACCCGTCCGACGAGCATGAGCTCCCTGTCCAATGACAGAACCGCAAATGGAGGGCTCCCCCATGACGCGGCCTATCATGACTCTAGCGCCCATCCTAACCACCATCGAGACGAACAACATAATCCTTTGCAGAACGGTTCCATCGTCAAGATGCCCCAGAGGCCGCCACCGCCACCCCCGGCTGCAACAGTTGCCCAAGGCTTCGACGGTAGCCTCTCTGCAAGGGATTCCGACGCGGACGTCACCGACCCGGCCTCACTTCGCTCAACGACGGCCACGTCGGTAGTCCCAGACTCACCTGCGAACTCGAGACACAGCAACCCCGAACAACACGACGACGGCGCTGAACCCCGTCCGACCCATTCCCCTCGACAATCTGAAACTACACTGTCCCAGGCGGTCCCAGCAACCACCACAACAACAACCACAATTGATCCTCTCTCGAGGACTCCATCACTACCTCCGGATCACCGATCCCCAAGCACCACGCCACACCGACTCTCTTCTCCTCCCTTGTACCACTCTGCCAGCGGTGCCGCAATCAACAACACCCCATCCTCCCTCCACGCGCCTTCAACCCCCAGCCTCAAACAACGTCACACCCTCGAAGTGCCCCGGCCCCAACCTGGCCGGACTTCGAAAGATGGCATCGATTCGGCTGTTGCCACCGGTCGATTCTCCCCTACGCCGGCGAATCCCGTCGTCCGCCGGGCGTCGGTCAGCTTGGCTCGTAGGAACACTCGCTCTATGCAGTCCGACGCACCCCGGGACGAGGTTATGCCGGATGAGGATGCCCTCCGCTGGGCCGAGGCATATCGACAGAAGAGAGCGAGCAAGAGGAAAAAGAAGGAAGAGGAGGATGACGATAGGGTGCTCGTGGGCACCAAGGTGGATGAGCATCATGCCAACTGGGTTACGGCATACAACATGCTGACCGGCATTCGCGTCTCTGTCTCGAGAACCAATGCGAAACTCGACAGACCGCTTACAGATGCCGATTTTGAGGCCAAGCAGAAGTCAACTTTTGATATGTGAGACCTGACAATCCCCCACTTCTTTTTTCTCTTCTTTCTCTCCTTTGCTTTTCTTTCTTTCTCTTCCTCTTTTTTTTTTTTTTTTTCATTCTAACACCCGATGCAGCGCTGGTAACGAATTAGTTCCCTCCGCAAAGTACGACTTCAAATTTAAGGACTACGCGCCATGGGTCTTTCGGCATCTTCGCGCCCTTTTCCACCTCGATCCCGCCGACTACCTCATGTCTCTCACTGGGAAGTACATCCTCTCCGAGCTCGGCTCCCCTGGCAAAAGCGGCAGCTTTTTCTACTTCTCCCGAGACTACAAATACATCATCAAGACGATCCACCACGCCGAGCACAAGTTTCTCCGCAAAGTTCTCAAAGACTACTACGAACATGTCAAGGATAACCCCAACACCCTCCTCTCCCAGTTTTACGGCCTCCACCGAGTCAAAATGCCCTACGGCAAGAAGATCCACTTCGTCGTCATGAACAACCTCTTCCCACCTCACCGAGACATCCACACGATATTTGATCTCAAGGGCTCCACCGTCGGCAGGAACTACGGGGAGGAAGATTTGGAGAACAACCCACGGGCGACGCTGAAGGATTTGAACTGGCTTAGGCGGCAACGTTCCCTCGAGCTGGGCATCCGAAAGAAGCGGCTTTTCCTCGAGCAGTTGAACAAGGACGTGGCGCTCCTGAGAAAGCTGCAAATCATGGACTACTCCCTGCTGGTGGGCATCCACGACTTGCAAAGGGGCAACGAAGAGAATCTACGGGACAAGACGCTCCAGGTGTTCAGTCCGGGCGGCGATGCCAACCAAGACGATTCCGAACCCCAGTCGGTATTACTCAGGACGCCATCTACTCTAGAGAACGCCCGGAAGGCGAAGGAGCTGAGGCAAATGATACGCCAAGAGCGGCCGGTGCCCATGGGACAGACAGCCAGCAAGATGCCGGACGAGCTGGACGAGCAAAACCGAGCTGGCGTTTTCAACCAAGACGACGGCGGCCTTCGCGCGACCCACGAGGATAACTCGCCCGCCGAAGAAATCTACTATCTGGGCGTCATTGACTGCCTGACTCACGTGAGTCTACCCTGCTCCGAAACCTTTTTCCGCGGGGAATATTAGGACGATATGCTAACCGTTCACTAGTACGGCATGGTCAAGAAGATAGAGCACTTCCTAAAAGGTCTAACGAGTGACCGCACGCAGATCTCCGCCCTACCCCCGGACGAGTATGGTGACCGATTCTACCGCTTCGTCGAGGGCATCACCATGTCTCGCGAGGAGGCAGAACGCGAAAGACAAATGAAGGAGCAGGAAGCCGTGGAAGCCGCGGCTGCCCAAAAAGAAAACGAGCGCGTATCGAGCTGGCGGAGCTCCAGTTCTAGGCGTGTATCGAATTGTATTGCCATACCACCAATGCCGAGCCACCAGCCGCCCCCCGTCCCAGCGTCGAGCGGAACCCTGTCGCCTCAAGCCCAAGAGACCATGGAGAAGGCCCGACGCCAAGCGAACAAATCAGAGGAGCGGGGTGCGAATGAGGATGCCGTTCCCGAGAAGACGTTGAAAACCGTACCTGCTGCGGTCGACAGACGAGAGTCCGGCCAAAGCCAATCGATTCTACCGGTCGTGGAAGAGGCGGCCGAAGTGCACTCAACTAGGCGTCACCGTCGAGATGGCGATCATCATGGCCAACCGCCCATGACTCCTGCCAGGCTAGGGCTTCGTGACCAAATGGCGGCCAGATCAACACCCCAGCATCCACCACCTACTCCTCCCAAGAATGGCTTGAAGCCAGAGAGCCAGGACAGCGGCTACGGGACGCTGGCTCAGAGCATGGAGGATAGCGCCCACCACGAACACTTTAACGCGGCGCCTCCCCGACTGAGCAAGGACTCTCTGAACAAAGACCTTCCTCCGTTGCCGACCGGAGTGGAGTTGGATAACAGAGGCCGGGGGCGGTTTTTCTCGTAAACGAGCGTATTTTCCTACAAAACGGCAGTCGAACTCTGTCTATATATCACGGAGATGGAAAGACGAGCGACCTAATGTTAGGGGTCAGAAATGCGACTGCGGCATGTCAACTCGGATGATATATCAATATCACATCGTCGAATGGGTTATAGGTACTGTTGGGATGATGGATGTGGCCGATGAGCCTGCCCACCGTCTTCCAAGAGAAACACAATTGCAAGGGCGATGATAATGATGGTGCATTCGAGACTTGGCCTCTGGTTTCCTTTCTTTCTGCATTTTCCTTCTCTTTATTATCCCCTTTCTCTGTTAGAACTTCCTTGACTTTTTTTCCTCTCGTCACATAGATGATACCACCATTGCATCGAGCATGCTTTCTCTCCCCCCCCCTCTGCTTTCTGTTTTGTTCTTTCTTTTCCGTCTGCCCATACAAGACGGGACTTTCTGCCTACACATGATGTACAAATGGACTTTGGTCAGAAATTGGGGATGGGCGAGCCATCAGAAGGCGGCATACATAGCTAGTAGAATATTTAGCGAGGTCTAGCTAATACCAAGAATCTTTTATTTTTATAACATATCCCTGGGCTAGTGGTGTATTCAATTGCAGTTTGAAACTTATCCGGCACCTTCATCCCAAATCCTCCTATATCAGTACCTATTCGTCTGCCGTTCTCTGTTATCCCTTTGCGGCGGCAATACGTCTGGACGTTTAAAACCAAGTAAGCAGGTACAGGAGTGTCGGGCGAGCTGTTGGTCACTCGTAAGTTGCAGGAATCTGACCTCCTACTCCTCCGGTGTACCTAGGTAGGGAACAGGAATTTGTCGATCTTCTGATTGTGCACAACGATGGACCATAAAACACATTGCGTATGTCGAGTCGGGAGGCTTTGTTCCTAATCCAAGTCCCCAGGCATATCTATGTTGTCGTACACGTACAGCATGCTGCTCCCCAGCAGAGAAAGAATATCATGTAGCGCCGTCTCCGTTCATGCTCACCATCTCGTATTCTCCGCCCCCATCCCGCCCCCTTCCTCTTCCCCGTCCTCTGGAGACGCCCCGTTCTAGGTCTCCATCCTCGACCGGCCCTCCGTCTTCATGCCGTGTCCGCTCATCGTGGTGCGTTCTATGACCGCCGCTGTCGCCTCCGCCGCCGCTGCCGCCGCCAAAGAAAATCGGCCGCAGCTCCCGCCATTGGCTGCCCCATACGCCCAACCCGACACAGAGCGCGGATGAGGCCATCATGGCGACCCACCACATCACGTTCCGGGGAATGCGCGAGCTATAGACCGACGTTATGACCAAGTGTAGACCGTGGAGCGTCAGCGCGAAGTCGGGGACGAGCTTGGAGCGGGATATGAGGAGGATGATCGCGATCGCCCTGTCGTGCGGCACATGTTAGTTCCAGTGACTGGATTTTGGGAGGGGGGGAGCGCAGATTGATCGTCCAAGAAGCAAATAGAGAGAGTTGAAGGCGGAAACTTACATGCAGAACCCGCCGTTGAGAACCCAGACGAAACCGAAAAGCCAGCCCTGCGTCGTGTCGCCTCGGACAGCTTCCCAGCCGAATACGAGGTCCAGGTCGAAAGAAACACCCGCTACGAGAGCGGTGAACAGCATGAGAACGATGGCGCCGAAGTAGTAGAGGAGCTGGAGGAGGGCGATCTGTGAGGCGATCCGGAGGGGCGGTAGTTCCGCGATGGCCCCTGGGCGTGGAGGTCTCCTCCTCCTCGGCATTCTTGTCCCGGGGATAGAAGAGATGGGATGACTGGCGTCGTGGGGTCGGGCGGACCAGGGGTTCGTGGGGAGATGCCCGGGATGCGATGGATTCTCGAGAAGTGAGGCCGAGAAGTGAGGCCGACAAGCTCGACCTTTTGATATGGCTCGCTATGGAGTTACCATTGGGTAGGTAGTGTGAAGGTTCGAGCTTCGAAGCGGAAAAAGGAAGTTCGAAAACTAGCTTATCATCGGGCAATGCTGAATCCTGTAGGATATGTCGAACTTGGAGCCGTGATGGGTAAATTTTGTCCGCGCTCAGGTGGAAGAAACTGGAGCTTGATGAAACGGTTGCCTTGTGACTTTGCTGGCACAGTCGTGTCGTGAGACTCGGAAATTTGCACCCCCTGATGACATGCGCAAAAGGAGCTGGAGGTTGCAAATCCGAAATACATAGGTACTTCGTACATAGCAGCGGGAAGGCTAAGCCCGATTCATTCACCGCCTAACTTTTCTGCCGACTTCCTTTGAGATGTTCGACCGAAGCAAGCGATGAACTCTCCCCACCTCGGTCGAACGTCCATGGATTGAAAACGAACCCGTTCGTCGACATCATCACTTTTCGTTGACGTGCATAGCGACACCGCCTTTTCCATATCCCGCAACATACAAATCTTTTGCTCTAAAGGATCAATACCTGATTCAATTGCTTTACGGAGCTTCGGAGCTTCTATCTCCTCCCCATCCCTCACGGCCTTCCATCCTTCGAAGCAACCGATTCGAACCCAATCCCCGGCATGGGTCTCTTCGATCCGTTCAAGTCGCCCGAAGCCAAACGCGCCGAAGAAGTGCGTGCCGGTGCCGTGGCCCCAGATCGTCGCGAGCGCGCCAAGTGCTGGGAAGCCCGCGACGCTTACTTTGCCTGCCTCGACCGCGTCGGGGTGATCGACGCCCTGAAGGATGATAAACAGGCGCGGAAAGGCTGTCCCGCCGAGAACGCTGCATTTGAACGGGACTGCGCTGCTGCTTGGGTATGCCCTCTGCTCTTGTCCTTGTCTACGGCCCCCTGCTTCGTTTTCCAGTCCCGGTCCTTGTTACCATCTTTCCGTTTGACGATGACAAAGCTAACGGAAACCTTTTTCTGTATAGGTCAAGTATTTCAAGCAGTGGCGTGTAGCCGACATCCAGAAGAAAGCCAGAATAGCCCAGCTCGAAGCCGAGGGTGCGGTCCAGATAGAGCTCACACCAACATTCGAGGAGGCGGCAAGTGGTGATTCTGGTTCCAGTGGCGTACCCAAGGGTACAAGTAAGGAGGAAATTCAACAGCTACTTGCTAAGAAGAGGGGCTGAATTGGAGGCATCCCTTTCTTGCACTTCCTACCGCGAGGTGAAAGGGGCCGATGAAGACGGCGACGAGACGCTACGACCGCCTTGGCTACCCTCGACTCGAAGCGGAACCTCTCTCGCACCTTGAACGGAGGCTGCATATACTGTACAATACTGGGCGCTGTATCATATTTCTCCTGGCCATCTATTCTCACGACGGCACCAAAGTGTCAAGTCTATGCACATTCTCAACTTATGTATAATGAAAAATATAGTACTATTTCTTAGGGGGCCTGATTCCGCAACTTCCTCAGGACGGGGGACTACGGAGTTGACCAGCATTATTGCACGATGCAAGAGCTTTCCCTCACCACTGGAACACAATACTCAGGTTGGTCGGTGTATTTAGTGAGGGAGTACCTCAGCTCCACAAGCAACTGTGTCAAGCGGATCTGCGGAAACTTTTGTTGATGCGTCGGCAAGGTCCTCGACACCGACCATGTGCCGTCAAAGGTATGACGCTGGGTCGCCTACCGGTACGGAACGCGTGAGCACGCCTACCGCGAAGAAATTGCCTCATCTGGCGAAAGCGCCGTGCCACAAATTTTCTGAGCCGCGACGGCGTTGATGGCTCTGCATTCTGAACGGCGGCTCGCCGATCCCGCTCTCGGTCCGCCCCTTGACGTTGGATCACATTGTCTGCAATTGCCTACATATCCTAGCAGTTAACTGGTGCTGCATATGGGCGGAATCTCTTGGTAACAGACTTCCTGTGCTTTGTCAGAGACGTTGGAGATGGAATAGCAAGCGTCTGTCCAGTTTTCTCGGCCTTGGCTGTGGGAGATTTGTGTGCGGCTCATCAGCCGTCTCTGTTCACCGGTGGGTGGTCGACGGAGTGAGACAACGTCGAAACAGTATAAATTAGGGTTCCCCGAGGCCCTAATGGAGTTTCTTTGTTCATTTTCAGTTGCGCCTTTCCCAGTCCAATCGGTTCTCTCGATGTCAATATCGGGAAGCTGGGTTGTTTCGGCGCCGGCCGGGGGTATACGTATGCGATGGACCAGGGATTTGCGCTTCTGCGCCGCTTCGAGGACAGAGGAACTGCTTGAATGGCCGAGCCTCGAGCCGGGGTCAGGGTACTGAGCGTCAAAGGGGTGGGACAAGTCTCTCTGGCCGGATTCTATCAGTACAGCACATCTCGCCCACGGAGAGTGCGTGACATGGGGAACTGACCTCTTGAAGAGCAGAGTCCTTGCAACAACGACCAGGACGAACAGAGCCTTGTAGGTGGTGTACAATGCACTCGGACACTGCCTCGCGTCGTGGGATCATTGCCCCAGGTTGTAGATTGGGGATCAAGGAGAGCCTTTCGAGGCTATAGGAAGGAGTTGGGTAGGAGAGGTGTGTGCGACTCTGATAGTTGGGCGCTGCTCGAGCGGTGACCGGTCTGAGGGAGGATTTGGAAGCACTGTTCGTCTATGACGCGATAGGCGGGTGAGACGGTCACCGGTGATAGACGATACACGGGCGATGCAACGTGGACACCAGGATGAAGATCCCTAGGGAGGAAAGCTAGAAAGGAGAGAGTCGAAAGTCGAAATAGATATACTGCTCGTCGTGTATGTCTCCCACGTGAATGGAGTAAATAATATTTGTTGCGAGGACCTATACCAGAAATGACCGTGTTGGGATGAGTTAGACAGAACTCTGAGGATCGTGTCGTACGGACCTAGGCCATATGAACCGAGTCTACCTATACAACATGTAATCAATCCACCTGCTTCCTCAACGCTCTCACCACGTAGCTAGATTGCTAGCCAGGAACAACCTTCTAACCATAGGATATCCTGCCGCTCAGGGAAAAGGGTCATGCCCAGGGGCGAATATAAGTGTCCTATCATCGAACGACCACCTAAGTGGTGATTTCCCATTTGTAATAGGGATTCAATGGGGAGACCTCACGTTTCAATATCGAGACCTCACACGTGATATTCTAGTGGGGCCATGACGCCACCGCCAAGATGCATATGTACCGCACCTATTTTGTATGTACACATTATGTAAATAATCGTAGGTAATACAGTAACTAACTCAATCTCAACACTCAATCCTAATACTCAAATCTTAATACTTATCTCGGAGCCGTAGGCGGTTATTTTATATAGGATATCGTGTAGGATATCGTGACTTATTATTATGGTGTTTTGGGCGGTTGGATTCAGAGTTACGGTGTGGGAAGTGATACGTTAAGGTTTACGATGTCGCCTGCGATTTTCTACATAAAGTGTACATACAAAATAGGTGCGGTACATATGTATCTTGGCGGCGGGTTCATGGCCCCACTAAAATGTCACGTTTGAGGTCTCGATATTGAAACGTGAGGTCTCCCTATTGAGTCCCTTGTAATATCCCCCCTCCTTCCATTATGGAACCCTTACATGGACCAATACCAGTCGCCCCTGCATCACCTCAGGTCCGCCAACCACGTCCCATAAGAAACGGTCGAGATGGTCCAAGAAAACGGCATGTTGATGATGTACTAAGGTACCGGCAAATCTCAAGCGACCATACAATAACTAAACTCGAGAAAACTAAACTCGAAAATCCAAATAAACCTCTCGATGTCCATCCAGGCCCTTGCAAGCTCGACGCCGGCCAGCCTGGCCAACAATGCTCACATCAAGGGTGGCTGGTGGCTTATAGGAGAGCTCTCATAATGCTGGCTCGCGAATTAAGAATTAAGTAGTCGTTAGAGGATAGTCTCTCCGAGAGACCATGCGGGAAGTTGTGAGGCCCTCTAGAACCGAGGAATAAGAGCTCCTCGGCGGTTGCTGAAACAGAGCCGTTCATTGACCGTTAAAATAGGCATCGAACTTTAACAAAGCGCTGTTGGATGCCCATCACCGAGAACATGCTCAACTCTGTGATCGCCCTCCATGATAGGAACCCGACTCCTTTCTTCTACCCTGCAAATCCCGGAGAAATATTAAACAACAAATATGAACTGATTACAAAAGTTGGATGGGGGTCGTCATCTACCGTCTGGTTTGCGCGCGAGGTCAATCGGTAACGCAGTCTTCCACTCCCATCACCCGCATGGTTCTTAATGAGACTATCCCTCTGATCCCGTTTTATGGCTCACGGAGCTAATCGAAGATGTAGGGGCATCTGGTCGGGGCCTGGAGAGACATGTGGCATTGGCAGTAGAGCCCAAAGGTGCAAAATGCCAACGGCAAACTGTGCAGTAACGCCATGGAGTTCTACGGAGGGCCATTCTTGACCGATGATGGTAGGATTTGTTTCGACACCGTATCTGGCTTAATGATATGGCTGATGAAAAATGTAGGCAACTTCGCAAGAAACGACTTGGTGCCTTATACGCGGATATGGCGCGACGAGATGCCGGAATGCATCGCCGAAGTGGAGTCCGACCTGTTTTTCCAATGAGAAGAATGCTCTGCTGGATACCGGAGCAACGCGCAACGGCCAGGGAACTGAAGAATGACCCTTGGTTTGACATCTAGCCTCGAGCCACGGGACGGCGACGGCTTCAGGTTGTTGACTGGAACCTCGTCAATAGGTTGTACCTATTGCCCGTATTATGTAATACGTAACGTTCGGCAGTCGGTCCTCGGATATTCGCGGGGTAATTAATACGTAATACCTTCCTTAGTCCATAGATCATTATCAGACTCCCTTCTTCCTCCCGTCCCGTCCAGCTCGACGAATCATCTCCAGCAAGGCTGGCTCTGGAAAGTCAATGCCGAGTTCCATGGGTTTGACAGTTTCTGTACGACGATGTATTTACGAAACTTGTCCAGAATTCCCAGGCAATGTCTTGCCAACCTGCCTCGGCGGGCACCCGCCGCGCAGCGTTTCGCTTCGTCTTCAGCCTCTCCCTCTTCCGTCTTTGACTGGTCGGATCCCCTCATGTCCAAAGCCCTGCTGACAGAAGACGAACTGGCCATTGCAGATACTGCCGAGCGTTATTGTCAGGAACACCTTCTACCTCGTGTTCTACGTATGCTGTCCTCGTCCCATCGCCTTTTTTTGCATTCGCCATCTGCGCCTTCTCTACGTTACCTCGATCCACTGAGACAGACGGCTTGCTGACCCGTCCTCGACCCGATTCCAGAGGCCTATCGCGACGAGCACTATGATAAGAAGATACTGCAAGAGATGGGAGAGCTGGGACTCCTGGGTGCGACGATTGATGGGTACGGCTGTGCCGGCGTGTCGACCGTCGCAGGCGGCCTGATCACTCGAGCCGTCGAGAGGATTGACAGCGGATACCGCTCCGGAATGTCGGTCCAGTCCTCCCTGGTTATGGGAGGTATATACGAATTTGGTTCGCAGGAGCAGAAGGAAAAATACCTACCTGGAATGGCAAAGGGAACCATCCTGGGCGCGTTCGGCCTGACCGAGCCGAACCATGGCAGCGATCCAGGGTCTATGGAGACCACGGCCAAGCCGCACCCCTCTAAGAAGGGATACGTCTCCATCTCCGGGTCTAAGACCTGGATCACGAACTCGCCTATTGCCGACGTGCTATTGGTGTGGGCGAAATTGCAGGAGACCGGCAAGATCAGGGGCTTCCTGGTTGACCGCTCACAGTGCCCTCCAGGAACCCTCGAGACACCACCCATCAAAAACAAGAACGGGTTGCGCGCCTCCATCACCGGTATGATTCAGCTGGACGAGTGCCCGGTCCCGGAGGAGAACATGTTTCCCGACATCGAGGGTCTGAGGGGCCCTTTCTCCTGCCTCAACAGCGCCCGGTATGGTATCGCTCTCGGCGTCATGGGGGCGCTCGAGGATTGCATCGCAAGAGCCAGGGAATACGCGTTGGAAAGGACGCAGTTTAAGGGGAACCCGCTGGCGAAGTACCAGCTGGTGCAGAAGAAGCTGGCTGATGCGAGCACCGATGCCGCGTACGGCACGCTCGCCGCTATCCAGGTCGGCCGTCTGAAGGATCAGGGCAAAGCGACGCCGGAGATGGTCAGCATGGTGAAGCGGCAGAACTGCGACAAGGCGCTGCAAAACGCACGGGTGTTGCAGGAGATCTTTGGGGGGAATGCTGTGAGCGACGAGTATGGTATTGGCCGCCATGTGGCCAACTTGTTTGTGACGCAGACGTATGAGGGCCAAAGCGATATACACAGTGAGTGTCTTTTCCAGTTGCGGCTATAGTCCGCACTATGCGTATTCTGAGTGCCCTGGGAGTTTTGCCTAACCTGCTATTTCTTATAGGTCTGATTCTTGGTCGAGCCATCACCGGGATCCAAGCCTTTGTTTGAAGGGAGGAGTGGAAAGGGTCCAAGTGGGGGCATATTCGACTTAATTCGCCTCGCAGTGGGCTTGGCCTTCATCATAGCTTCCGTACCCCTCGCGGACGGTCTTTACACGTAGTTCATCGACATTCGCCGCCCGCCACCATCGGGCTCAAGATAGATAGGGGTTCACACAAGAGTCAGGGTGCTAGGAGTACACAAAAGCTTGAAACTAAGGTAACCAAAGAGCCGTAAGGCCGATAGAGACACTGGCCACGTTAAACGCAACGGCCGTTGTTTATCGCCGACTTGGTCTTCCTTCACGACATCTTCCTGAACCGCTGACCGCTCGATGAGTTGATGGGTGGTCGGGTCAAAATTTTCCTTTCACACACAGACAATATGACTCAGTGGTTCCGCAAACACGGCGAAGCCCGTAATCCGAATAGGAGAATTGTCAGTTATAAGGGCATACAAGATTTTTAATAGAGTATTGGTGAGATATGACATCGATTACCAAGGCAGTGGATGACCAAAACGCTGAAGGTCGAGAAGGCTCCACCATGGAAGGTCAGGGAACCATCACCCAGCCTTACCCACCCACGGTACCTGACTGTAATGTACTTAACGCTCAGAGAACGGGGCGTGAACATTACCTTATGTGAGGTGACTCCTTCGGGAACGCTATCTAGGTACATCTGCGCAAGTATACCTATGTACCCAGAGATGGCTATTAGGTACCTAGGTCAGGTTTTGTTAGTCTATGTGGTCTACCTCTTGGTTGATTGGTCCTCGATTTCTGAGTCGGAAGACAAGGTGGCGGTGTATACAATGTGGCGGAACTGTTGGCTATTTGGCTGAGTAAGGTGGGGTTTTGGGGATCGGTATGATCGGGTCGCCCTGCCCAAAGCCAGTATCCTTTGCTGCAGGGCCGGTCGTATGGTCCGTCACTTTTCTTTCTTTCTCCCCCCCCCCAACCACATACCCTTGACTTCACCATATTCCAACGCATCAACGCTTTCTGCCTCCTCATCTCCTTCGACACGCCGACGTCTCCCGCCGTTTTCTTCTCTTTTTGATCACGAAAGTCAACGCGCCATATCGAAGAAACACGCCTCGCACTTGTTCTGTACGTTATCTTTTTTCCCCTCTTCCACGAGCGCTCTTTTGTCGCCGCCCGCAGACACTACGCCACCTCGGGCCATTTGCTGACTTGCCCCTCATTCTGTGATAGTTACAAGCAGACGAGGCCCGTTTCGCCTTTCTTTTTTTTTGATACCCCCGATACACACTTTTACGATGGCTCTGAAGCGTATCAACAAGGAACTTACTGACCTGGGCCGGTATGTTTATTTCCCTCGCTGGTCGTCGTATCCCTGCCCAAAGACCATCGCCAGGTGGGGCTGTTGTCGAAGCGGGGTCTGATGCCGAAAGCTATTCGGCGTGCATCGCTCGCATCGCTCGCATCGACCATCAACCCAGCTGACGGTGTCTCTTGGGTGTCATCGACTCGGCTCGCTTTCACGATGGATGTTTTGTACTGACTTACGCTGTATAAAGTGATCCGCCCTCGTCTTGCTCCGCTGGCCCTGTTGGCGAGGATCTGGTATGTCACATCCCAAAGCCGATACACGGAAACTCCCTACACGAACATGGCGTCGATGTGTAGCGCGAATAGCGCCACATATTCCATGGTCCTACACGCTGCTCTATGCAAAGTCAATACTGGTCGGGTTGACGAGTACTGACATAATCTTGTCGTAGTTTCACTGGCAAGCGACAATCATGGGGCCTGTAAGTCGACCTCCGAATTATTCCTTTACCCCCTTATATATGCCGTCGGACAATTTGGCACTGCACATCCACTTGTCCTTTGACTTGAGACGCTTTCCCCTTTCTTCGCTTGCCCTTTATTTTCTTACCCCCATGACCGCATACCACTGACACGTTTGATACCAGGGCGACTCTCCGTACTCTGGCGGCGTCTTCTTCCTTGCTATCCACTTCCCGACCGACTACCCTTTCAAGCCGCCGAAGGTGAACTTCACCACCCGTATCTACCATCCCAACATCAACTCCAACGGCAGTATCTGTCTCGATATTCTGCGAGACCAGTGGAGCCCTGCCTTGACGATCTCTAAAGGTTTGCTACATCCCCCTTTCCAGGTAACAACTGTACGTACACCTGAGTCGAGACTAACTATAATCTTCCAGTGCTTCTGTCTATCTGCTCTATGCTGACAGACCCCAACCCCGACGACCCTCTTGTCCCAGAGATCGCCCATGTCTACAAGACGGATCGCGCCAGGTACGAGGCCACCGCTCGTGAATGGACCCGAAAGTATGCCATCTAGGCTGGGACGAGAAGATATAAGGAGAACTAAGCTTCTTCCTCACTTGAATTTGCCTCTCTGATGGCCCGGGAGCCCGATGCCGACTCAGCCCGCCCCACTGAATAGGGGCATTTGTGGTTTTGGGGCATACAGTGGTCTCCTTGCCTACAAGACAAGGATTCTCGTGGTGGACATGGGGCAAGGAAGGGATTGTGAAGGACACCGCACTGGAATTAGATACCGGACGCCAGCGCGGCATACAATACCAATACATTCTTAATACTGGCCAGACCCCCAGATGCCTTGGTCTGGCCTGCATGGATGTTCAGCTCCCAGCCATGGGCTGTACTGTACTATGTTACGGCCAGTACGAAACAAGAGGAGCTATTTTGTCCCCAGCAATTCAAGCCATTCAAGAATATTCTTCCTTATGTCTGGGAACATCCTGGAATCAGATCGACACACGTGACATGCCTTGCTGCGGGTTGTTTGATGTACGATGCTTCCAGTCCCCCAAAAAGATGAACGTGAACATGTTCCCGGACCGTGAATTTCGCCGATGTGACAAACCTAGCCGTAGGTGGACGGAGACAGTACCTAATATATGGCCAGACAGGTCGTATAGAGACGGATCACCCGGGATCTTCAGCGGGACAGGACGGAATTAGGCATGTTCCCCATTCCGCCACTTCGGCGTGGGGATTTACTTTCGTATGAATCAGAGCGACAAGGGACGACGGAGCCAATGAAGTCGGAGAAAACTATCCGGACCTTGAGATTTTGGGATCTGCCGCCGGACAAGTGGTGCCGAATTTATGCGCTTGGGCATGCTCACGTTGTGAATCCCAGCTACGGTGTAGTCGCACATAATGCGAGGTAGCCAAAGGTACGAGGAATCTTTCCCCTTCATCTGCCGTCTTTTCCTTCCGCGGAAAGAGTCGCGGGACCGAGACCCTGGAAGTGCAAATTGTGCCCATGGAGTGTGATCCTGCTTCGTGCTATGCAAAAAAACCCCCCCCGAAAGATAGGGTGGTGCTTATTATGGAGGACGAGAAACTGGGGAGAAATGCGACGCATGTTGATTCAGGTGTGTCAGAGCCCCTTGGTCGAAACAAGTTCGTGACAAAGTACCTAGGTACTCCGCACATAGTGATTACGGTGGTGGATGCGAATGGCTCGACCACAGGCAGGCGCATGGGCGAGACGCTGATATCATGCAGGTAGCCAATAGGCGTCCTTGGTGCTGCCGAGCACGACCTCCACCAAGTTTCTGGTAATGAATGTTTGAAATCTCGAGAAAACTGTGTCGCGTTCTGGCTAAGTAGGGAGAAGTGGCGTCATTTCCCACTTTGTGCAGGAGGAAAAGGTCGAGGAGTTGCGTGGTGAAGAGATGAGACGTCTCAATGAAGATGGTTGTACGAATATATAATATGGTACCTTACGGAGTTGAGAAGATATCCGTAAGGTAGTGCAGCTGGGGTCAGCGCAAGTCACAACGCTCGAAATAAGGTACAAAGTACCTTAAGTAAAAACGGCAGAAAGCAGCTGAGAAATGTTTACTCTGTACGTCTCCCGGTTATAAGATAGATAATACCTGTTAGAGAATCCCAAAGTAAACACACAAATACTAGCAATCAGCAACACCAACGGCGCAACGGGTACTTGGACATCCCGAATAGGAAGTCCCTGCAGTTGTCGGGTACACTAATCCGCTTTTGGAGTAATGCGGTTTCGTCTTTTGGTGGTGCAGGATCCTTGGGACTCCGTATCTTTGTTCCTCCTGTCTGCAGCAAAAGTAAACGAATGTAAACAGCAGAGCTGTTTCCTTTCCAAAAGAAAAAAAAAATCTATGTTCTCCAGAGGGATTTTTTTTTTTTAAGAAAAAAAGGGCACTGTGGTTATCCTTTAGAAGCGCGATTTGAAAAGAAGTTCGTGAAAATGTCTTCAACACAAAGTACGAAGTACCTGCAAAGTACCTTACCCTCCCTTGTCTTCATTGGATCCAACCAACCCCTCCGGCGCTTAACCAAACTGGTTCCTTGCGAGTACCTGGACCCCCTGAATATGGACCGTGTACGGAGCAACTTCCCTTATCCATGATGATTTCCTGACCATTGCGCACGACAGCCCTTCAATCGGACGATGTCGATGCTTGGTCTGTAACCAGAGAAGGGTCCGAGTTACCTTTCGCTCATCCTTCTTCAGTGTTCCAGCTGTGCTGTGGTACCTATTCCTTTTTGGCCTATCTCCCGTCGCCCTTTTCCTGCGTCCTTGTCCTTTCTGTCTATACCCAACTCTCTTCGAGACGCTGTAGGGTTAACACATTTTAATCGTTTTCTATTTCGAGAGCCGCCTGGCGTAGGCGCTACGAATCGGTGCGTATGATCGACGGCAAATATCAGTTCATGTTTCTCACACTCCCTTGTCCTACCTCCCACTACCCTTGTTTTCTATGGTCGACTGAGTGTCTGTCACATCACCACCCTCGGCAGATACGTGGCTGGTTGCCCGTTGCAGCCCGTGTTCCCTTCATCTTTCTTTTCTCCTCTTGACGTCTTCACCTTGGCGCTGGACTGGTGCTGGGTTCTCAACCGAACGCTGACATTCTTTCCGACAATTCCCAGTCTTTCCTTTCTTTCCTACCGAGTCCTTTGACTTTGCTTAATTTCGATTCGGATACTTTCTTTTAGCGCAGACGATTGTCTCTGTTCTTCTCGTACTCGGCTTGTTCAGCAGGCACTGAATCGACCGGAACGATTTACGACTTTTCTTATAAAAAATATAAAAAACCTCCATCCAGTCCCTCGCTCGCCGTCCCCCCTTGAACTCCGCAAGGCAAAACCTGAAAGAGTCGTCGAAGCGACTGAGACAAGCGAAAACCGGGAAAAGGGGGAAAGGCTGCCAAAAACGCCCCGAAGCTCCAAGGAATCGCTCGCCGAGAGAAGAAAAGTTACGGTACGAGTGAGATTCGAATCAGCTGGTCTGTGGTGGGCTTCAGGGCCGCCGGAGGACGAGGCGCACTTCGGTTTCCAACGCCAACGAAGGTCTAGAGACTTGTTGACGCCACGATGGGCTTTAACTACATGGCCTCCATGAGGCCGTCGGAGAGGTCAAGATGGACTCCCCTCACGCGTATGCTGCTCTCGGGGGAGATGACGCAGGAAAAACAGAAGGAATTGTCAGCGAGGGAGAAGTTCGACCGATGGATGATTAACGAGGGGTATCGAAGATTGTACGTCTCATATCCCGGCTCATGGGTTTGCTGCTCGCGAACGATTCTGGGGCCGTCGCGGTGTTGGTGCTGCATACTAACTGACAGTTTGACAGTTTCGTCTTCGTATTTGTCCTCCTTCACGGGCTTGTCTTTGCTTTCGCATGCGTCAACTTTGCGCTCAAAGACAACCTGCAAATAGCGCGCGACACCTTTGGGCCGACCTTCGTCATAGCTCGTTCGGCGGCACTGGTTCTTCACGTCGACGTAGCTCTCATCCTCTTCCCCGTTTGCAGGACGTTCATTTCGCTCGCTCGCCGCACTCCGCTGAACGGCATCATCCAGTTCGACAAGAACATCACCTTCCACAAGGTCACCGCCTGGTCTATCGTCTTCTTCTCATGGGTCCACACCATCGCGCACTGGGTCAACTTTGGCTTGATTGCCGCGAAACACAACCTCGGATTCTACGGCTGGCTCTTGGCCAATCTGGCATCCGGCCCAGGTTGGACGGGATATGTGATGCTCATTGCGCTCATGGGCATGGTGGTGACGTCGATGGAGAAGCCGAGACGCGCCAATTACGAACGGTTCTGGTACACTCATCACATGTTCATCGTCTTCTTCTTCTTCTGGTCCTTCCACGGCGCGTTCTGCATGATCCAGCCCGACTTCGCCCCGTTCTGCGTCAGCGTCGGTAGCAGCGCCACTGGCGTCTTCTGGCAGTACTGGATGTACGGTGGCTTCTGCTACCTGGCCGAACGTGTTGCTCGCGAAGTTCGGGGCAGGCACAGGACGTACATTTCGAAGGTCATCCAGCACCCCAGCAACGTGTGCGAAATCCAGATCAAGAAGGAGAACACGAAGACGAAGGCCGGCCAGTACATCTTCTTGTGCTGTCCTGCAGTGTCCCTCTGGCAGTACCACCCGTTCACGTTGACGAGCGCGCCGGAGGAAGACTACATCTCGGTCCACATGCGCGTAGTGGGCGACTTCACCCGGTCTCTCTCGACCGCTCTCGGATGCGATTTCGACAAGAAGAAGGATACCAGCAAGGTGGTCGGGGTGAACGGAGATGGAAGCGACGTGGATCCGGTTCTCCGTCGGGTGCTACCCCGAGTCTACGTCGACGGTCCGTTCGGTTCGGCGTCGGAAGACGTGTTCAAGTACGAGGTCTCGGTGCTCTGCGGCGCAGGCATTGGCGTCACCCCGTTCGCGTCGATTCTCAAGTCCATCTGGTACCGGATGAACTACCCGCAGAAGAAGACGCGGCTCAGCAAGGTGTACTTCTTCTGGATTTGCCGCGATTTCGGTTCGTTCGAATGGTTCCGGTCGTTGCTCCTGGCGATCGAGGCCCAGGATGTCGACAACCGCATCGAGATCCACACGTACCTGACGGCCAAGATCAAGGCGGATGACGCCACGAACATCATGATCAACGACGCCAATGCCGACAAAGATACCATCACGGGTCTTCGGTCGCCTACCAACTTTGGACGGCCCAACTGGGACATGATCTTCCGGGGCATCAGGAAGCTGCACGCGCCTGCCGAGGCTGGCGTCTTCTTTTGCGGGCCCAAGGGGTTGGGCAGCACATTGCATATCTACTGTAACAAGTACAGCGAACCTGGGTAAGTCGACCTTCCAGGTTGTTTTCCACCACCCTCCCCCACCTATGGCGCATTTCATGATGATGGGGAGGACTCGATAACTGAGTTGTTTTTGATAGCTTTTCGTTCGTTTGGGGGAAGGAAAACTTTTAAACCTCATTTGCATAGACAGGGAGGGCGGCATATTCCTATTTGGATCCCACGGCCGATTTCATGCTCTCCCTCGTTGGGGGAGGGGGGCGCGGTTTTCCACCTCGAATACACGCTCTCGATGGGGCCACGCCTGCAGGCTTCGGGAAGCCTCGCATTCTCACCCTCTCCCCATTTCCACCGGACCAATTTCTGTCGGTGTTTTCCACATCAGCGGACTGCCTCTCTATTACCAGCCGTCACTTAAAAAGGGAAACGAACCCAGCAAATATGAGGAGACTATGACATGACCAACAAGTCCCGTTGTCTTTCCTTGGGCCGGCCGAGGCCCATGGGCGTGAGTGAGGCCACGGAGGTTAAAAAGTCTTGCCGAGGGAGGGAAGAGTGATGGTGTGCGATGTTCATTGGACACGGGCAAGTGAGGATAATAGGGTTATCGCCATCCATTTCAGAGTATATAGTCTCATCTTTTTCATCACCTTCTCACCCATTCCAGCGCTTATATTATAGCACGTCGAAATATATATTTTTCCTTCTCTTACTATTCTCCTTCTTCCCGGGTGAGTCGAGTCATTGGGGTTACATTCGGTCGGCTAAGGTAGGAAGTATTAAGGGATGATTATGCGTATATACCTCGGCCCGCCTCCGGCAGGAATGCTCATTTGCATCTTGCTCGCAGGCAGAGTGCTGTGGTTCTCGGTCTAAGTAGCGTGTCGCACTTTTCTTCTCCCGATCGTACTGCCATTACGGGACATTAAATATATGTATATTCCGTCAACCGCGTGCATTAGTGTACCATACACGTGTAATGTATCCGTATAAGTGCCTGGGAAATGATTGATGGATAGGTACACGTACAAGTACTTGGTGTGGTTGACGAATAGCTGGCCAGCCACATCGACAGATCGCCATATGATGGGCTGAGACATACAACCGTCATATGGACGCAGACCACTAAGAAGCCCCATATCAAGACACCGTAGACCCCGACATTTCCATGTTCATCGAGTGACTTCATGTTCCCTGTGGATCCTTTCCAGAATGACGCTAAGTGGCAAGCCGGCCATTCCACCCGAGTTTATAACTACACGTAAAAAGAGTCCTGTCTTTATGTAGTAGAAGAGTTAAGAAGAAAAAAAAAGGAACAAAAAAAAAAAGCGCCTCTGAAGCTAGACAATTGATTTCCCAGTTTAACGCCGGATTTCTCTCGCATTTTATGGTCTTAGATTTCAGCTTATCAATCACGGTGTTGAGGCAAATATCACAACGTATATGCACGAACTTTCAAAATCGCTCAACTGCCCGAACATTGGCGACTGTCCGTCTCAGTCAGGACAAGCTTCAATAACACCCATAGACAGACACATTGACGACCTGCTTGTATTATTAGTGTCCTGAAGCAAGGTCAATATCTTCATAACAGGGACAGTCCGGACTTTTCCCGGTTTCTGGTTTTTTTTTTTTTTTTTTTGGCGAAGACCTCCCTCCGCGAAGATATCTTTGCCACCTCAAAGTCCAGTCATTCCGACTGGATCAGCGGTTGACTTCCCAGATATCACGCTTCCCGGACTGCTCCATTTCGGGACCCAAAAGAAGCAATCATTGCATAATCATGACTTCAGCTGATATCGCCGCCTCGGAGAAGGAGAGGCTCGATGAGACAGGAGTGCCGCTGGGTGGAAATGTCGCCGCGGACACCAAACCCGAAAGCGCCAGAACAGAGGCCGAGGAATCGGGTCTCGCGGAGGCTGCTGCAGTAGAAAAGAAGCTGGTGCGAAAGCTCGATCTCTACCTTATTCCGCTGGTTATGCTGCTATACCTTAACAGCTTCATCGATAGGTGAGTACCCTAGATATCCCACTCACTCGAGGTAAAAACAGCTCAAACCTTGCTCCCGGCCCCTTCTTCTTCTTCTTCTTCTTCTTTTGTCACTAACCCGTCTTGTCAGGGTCAACATTGGAAATGCGCGGCTCTACAACCTCGAAGAGGATCTCGGCCTTGTAGGCAATCAGTTCCAGGTCGCTGTGTCCATCCTCTTCGTGACTTACGTCTTATGCGAGATCCCTTCCAACTTAGTCCTGAAGGTCTTCCGCCCGCGACGCTGGATCGCCTTCATCACCGTATCGTGGGGAATCATCGCCACCTTGACGGGCCTCGTCGACTCGTACGGCGCCCTGCTCGCATGCCGACTGCTCCTCGGCGCCTTCGAGGCCGGGCTCTTCCCCGGCCTCACCGTGTACCTCACCTTCTTCTACACCAAGAACGAGCTCGCCATGCGGGTCGGCTACCTCTTCGTGTCGGCCGCCATCGCCGGCGGGTTGGGCGGCCTGCTGGCCTTCGCCATCGGGAACATGGACGGTCTGCGGGGCATGAGTGGCTGGAGGTGGATCATGATCATCGAGGGCATACCGACCGTTGTTTTGGGCGTTATTACTTACTGGGCGCTGCCTGATGACCCGGCGACCGCTTACTTTTTCAACAAGAGCGAGAGGGAGATTATGACTTTGCGCCTGCGCAGGGAGTATGGGAACACGACCAGCGCGCAGCAGTTTAATCGTCGCGACATGGTCAAGGCGTTCTCGGACTGGAAGGTGTGGCTGTTCTGCATTGCGCAGTTTGGCGTTGACACGATGTTATACGGTGAGTGGTGATGCTCGCAGAAGCCCCTGCCTGGCCCCTTTCCCCTTTTTTTCTTTCTCACTGACAAGGAGCATCATCGTCCTAGGGTATTCGGCATTCCTCCCGACCATCATTCATGCGCTGGGCGACTGGACGGTGGAGCAAGTTCAGCTGTTGACTGTGCCATGCTACTTCCTCGGCGCAGCCACATACATGGCGACGGCATTTCTCTCTGATCGAACAGAGAAGAGAGGACTCTTCTGTGTCATTTTTGGAACCATCAGCGTCATTGGCTATGCTCTCCTCATCTCGACAGTCCCTCACGGAGTTCATTACCTAGGGTACTGGTCTCATCATTCCCCGTGACGATTACGAGAAAAGTGCTAACGGTCGAGTATGTGCTTCCTTGCGGCCGCTGGATTGTATGTTGTCGTCGGCTTACCGCTCGCTTGGGTATGTTCTAACTTGCCCGTTTTCTCTTCCCACCATGCCGGTCATCGAAAAAGGAGAGGATGCTAAGGAGAGACGGTCAGCTCCCCAACAATACACCTCGATACGGCAAGCGTACCACTGCCAATGGTATGCAGCTGAGCATTGGGAACTGTGCAGGCATCATGGCCCCCTTCATATAGTAGGTTCATCACCTCAACCGTTTGTTTTACATGGATCAAGGGACCCATGTCAGACACAGCCACATGCTAACCGCTTTCTTCATCTTCTCTGGTGTAGTCCGACTGCCGACAGACCTCGCTATATCCGCGGACATGCCACTACCCTCGCCATGGTAGGAATGGGAACGTGTATTTACGCCTTCTTGTGGTTTTGGTTGAGAAGACAGAATCAACGCCGGGATGCGGGATACGTGTCGCCCAAGCAGCAGACTCTGTCCGAGGACGAGCTCGCAGAGTTGGGTGATGAGAGTCCCCGGTTTCGGTACACTATTTGATCGTGGACAATGTGAAAGATAGAGTTGGATGCACGATTAGTACAGAGTAGAATAAAGAAGGAGGGCGCATTGGGTGTATTATTCATACTACTACGGAATAATACACGATAATTTATAATTATAATTACAGCAAGTCCAATTTAACAAGGTACTTACGAATGACAAGGCAGCCTGGTTGTCAAAGAGTCATGTGACTTACGTTCGATAAGGTAATCGAAATTAATTGGCTTGACGCGAACATCCCCTGACCAAGCCTCACCGATGTTCACCGGTGAAGACGCGTTAAGCCGCGACTTATTTTTTTTTCCCCCACTACCCACACCTCGCTCCCATCTCGACCACCACACCGACATAAATAATGAGCGAAGAGGAGCAGGACTGGTCCGACGTTGCATCGGGCGTCGGCCTTTTCTCAAGTCAGAAACCTCAAGAAGCTCGCCCCATCGGATTGAGGGAACTCGGCCATAATCCGGACGACGACGGTGCCGCCAATTCTGAGCACGAGGGTTCAGCGTCCGAGGGTTCAGCGTCCGAGGGAGAGGAGGATACAGAATCAGAAGACGTCGACAACCCCAATTCTGACCATGAACGACTCGCAATGGATGGGCTTGAAGACCTAATCCTCAAGAGAGAGCCGGAGTCGGAACCAGAGGACTATTATGGCGCCAGTTCTGCGCATTACCGGCTCGCAGTTAATGGCCACAAAGGTCCAACGTCAGGCAGAGACGGGGATTCCGAATCGGAAGACGAGGGGAGCGAATATCCCCAATACAAGCAAGAGGGCGCAACCAATGGACATGAAGGACGAGTGTCCGTTGGAGAGGAGGATGCGGAATCCGAAGACGATAGCGACGACGCCGAGCATGACGAAAGAGTCGCTGTCAATGGACATGAAGGCGTGAAGACCGATGGAGGCGGCGAATCGGAACTCGAAGACGGAGAGGAGAGCATCGAATACCACGACGGTGAAGAGACCGCGCCTCTCCCAGCTTCGGCGCAGGGAAAGGAAGACAAGAGCGACGAGGAACCGGATACCAGCGGTGACGAAGTATCCGATGAGGAGGCCACTGGTAAAGTCTTTTACTTTCCCCTGACCCTTATGCCAGCCTTGTGTGCGCTCTTTCTGACGTGGGAAACAAAGTAAACTCGGAACGCGATCATTTCCCCACCGCGCGACGCGGAACGAACCCCGATGAAGATGTCTCCATGACACCGCCGAGCATGCTTCGCATGGCCGAAAAACGAAAGCGTCAAGACGAAGAAAATAACCATTCTGAATCTCCTAATCACAAGAGGAGGCGCGTTGTTCAGAACGGAGGTTCTTATGGAGCGACTCGCGACGTATACGACCATCCTTCCTCGCCCGACGGGGAATCGTCTTCTCCGTCGCGTGCACGCAGCCTTTCAAGCTCTGGTAAACGAAGGCAGCGGGCAAAACCGACATTCTCCCAGTCTCAGTCAACGTCGAAGGGCAAGGGGAAGGAGCCCGAAAAGCCACCTCCCTTAATGAATCGCTTCTTTTCGCGACTTTTCTCATCGCAGCCCGCATCGTCGAAGGCCGCACCACCAAACCCGTTCTCATCGCAGCCGCCCTTATCGAACGCTTCGTCCTCCAAGGCCACATCATCGCAGCCGTCGTTGTCGAGGGCGTCGTCCTCCAAGGTCCCCCCATTACAGCCGTCGTTATCAAGGGCGTCATTCTCCGACGCTCCACCCGCCCGGGCTTCTTCATCGGAGACTTCATCCTCCCAGGCTTCATCATCCGAGGCTTCGTCTTCCCAGGCTTCGCCATCCCAACCGTCTTTACCGAACGCCTCGACCTCCCAGGCTTCACCATTGGAGCCGTTATCAGTGAAGGTTTCACCGTCCAAGGCCGCATCATCCCAGGCACCAGCATTGAAGGTGCCACCGTCGAACCCCTCATCGTCCAGGCCCCCTCCCACAAATGTCGGTGCTTCGTCCTCTCGCACGAGAATCTTCACACCTGAAGAAACGGAACGCATCACAGTCGCCGTCGAGACGTACCGCGACAAGCATAACATGACGCAAAGGGAAGTGAACGACTTGATCCAGAAAGGCTTGGGAGTCGGTAGGACAGTAGTGGACACTGAACTGAAGAAGTTCTGGTCCCTCGTTACCGCCACATGTTCCGGCAAGCCACGGCAGAAGGTCATCGACTTCTGCCGCATGAGGTTCCACAATTTCAAGGCACGGGGAGGCCACTGGACCCCCGAGGAAGAAGAACAGCTCGCGCAGCTGGTCGCGCAGGGCGGAACGAAGTGGGCGAAGTGGTCCCTGGTCATGAACCGACATCCCAGGGACCTACGCGACAGGTACCGCAACTACATCATCTGCGGCAGCAACAGAGCCTCGGATCGATGGGCCCCCGAGGAGGAGGAGATGTTTAAGATGCATGTCCACGAAGCCTTGGAGGCGCTCGAGCGCGAGAAAGCGGCCAAGCCGGATAATTCTTTTTATGACCGGCCTCTGGACCAGTTGATCGACTGGCAGGAAATCAGCCGTCGGCTAGGCCGGACCCGAAGCCGGTTGCAGTGTATGTCAAAGTGGAAGAAGTTGCAGAGGCGTGCTGAGTCTACCTAGCAGCGTTCGGGGGCGCGCAAGAGAGTGTTCGGAGATCGGGGGCGTTACGGGAAAATACCCTGTTTATGTTTCGTATTCATGGCTCTGGGGACACATATTCGGTCTGCTTCTACTTTCAGGAGTCTGTTCTATTCATGCATAGTACTATTTATTTTAATCCTATTCAGCCCATCAAGTTCACCATTCACATGGGTTTCCTCTGGCAGCATCAACATGTCACCTACGCATCTAGGAACTATTCGCTTCCCACCGAATAGGCTCCTATGCAAGACCCTGTTTGTGCGGAAGTATAATAATGTACAAAGTAGTAAGTATCATTATAGGTTATTCTAGAGTATCAGTCAGGGCAAACAACCATGGTGGGAGGATCATTCATCATCTGCCAAACTACATACAACGTCCATCTCCCGAGTGGGAAGACAGGCCATGCTATAAACGAAAGAACCAACCTCCTCACTTTCTTCCCGCTCCTTCGTTATCCACATCGGCAACCCTCATTCCCTTCCGAACATCCCAAGGAATCGACGTGACGCTGTGTTGGAGCGTTGCGGCTGCTCGTGCCTTGTTTCCCTGGGCACTTCTTCTCGCAGGTTCCCAACCTCTGTCAGGCCGTCTTCCGACATGTGGGAAGGGATACGATTCGATTGGGTCGTCCTGGCCATTCTCTCATCCGAGTTTCCTTTTCTCGGCTCCTGTTCAGAGTCGAGTATTCCTCCCCCGCGCAAGGCCCTCGGCGTGGCTTGATTCTCGCGTGTAGAGGCCAACACCGAGTGTGATTGTTTCAAATCGTCAAGAATGTGTTGTTTACCTCGTTCGTGCTTCAGAGCTCCGTGCCCACCCGACAAAACTGACGGCAATGGCGTGGTGGCGGCGGAGAAAGACCTAACATATGGGAGAGGGCTGACATCCCTTCTGACTTGGCGCTCGGTGCCCCTTTCTACGGAATCCATTTCGCATCGAGATGACACTTCTGAATGCAACATATCGACCCTCTGGACCCCGTCCGGCGTACCCCCTATCGGTTGATCGAACAGAACTTGAGATGTGGATTGTTTCGTTGCAAGTCGAGCTGCCAACGGGGAGGCTGCAACCCCATCCGATCGGACTGAGAAATCGGCACGAACAGGCTCCGCATCGATGAGCTCATCCTCAGATAAGATGGCCGGGGATTGATGGGGGGTCTCTGAGGCCATTGCCATTGCCCCGCCACCTTGCTCGTTGCCAGGCGAGATTCGAAGCGACTGTAAAGAGGATGGAAGGCTCGGGGACATTGGGGTAACTTCTCGGAGTTCTTGTCGGCTTCTATGCCGTAATACTACCTCTCTTCTGGGGCCTGAACGGTAGGGCGAGGATGTGGGGGTCGCATTGCCAAGTTCACCGTCAGGACAGCTTCTCATCAGCCGCGGCGGGCCATGGTCAGTCACAGGACGACGAGAAGCTGGAGTCGGAGTGCGTCGAGTAGGAATACGAGAAGGCCGCCGCGGGCTGCCGTTCCGATGTGAATTTGATAATTCTGCAGAACCGGGCAATTGGACCGTTATGTTCGATCCGATCGGGAGCTCGGTAAATTGTGTCCTAGACTCAGTGCGTATCGTTGGACCAGGTCCATACTCGGGTTGAAGAGGAACTTCGCCTTTCGTTTCGTCAAAGGAAACTAACGGACTCGAACGAGGACTCTGTGACAAATCGGCAGGTGTCGTCATTGTCTTCGACTCGGGGTCGAGTCGAATAGGGGCGCCTGGCCTGGTATTGGCCTGACTTGTTCCGCCAGGACAGTCTGTGTCGGAGAGCGATTTCAGCGCGGGGAACTGGTCAATCCGCCTGTGCAAATCTCGGATGATCATCGACGATGGCGGCGCTTCTCCATACTGAACGTGACACGAAAGCTTGGCGGATGAAACTGCACCTGTTCGGACTGCCGGAGGGAAGAAATCGGTAATTAGAGCCTGTTTCTGAGAAGGAGACGTTCTGCCAGATTCAAAAAGCCCGTCAAACGCGGGCGACTCGTCATGTGGTGCCTGTAGTTGATTTAGCGGCTGTGAGCTGGGCGAGGACTGTCTGGACAGGACCTCAGAAATTGACGGAGACGCAATGGCAATATCAGGGCGTGATGAGACGCGGAGAGCCATTTCGCTGGTAGGTAAGAACGATATGGTTCTTGGAATGGAAGCAGGGTCGATAAAGGGATCCTGGAAATGCGTCCAGTCACGGTCCTCAACACAAGTAGGTTTCTGTCCTGGCCCTTGAGCTCTGAGAGCACCATATATCACTCTAGATAATCGTGATTCTTGTGCCGACTCGCACAATGCCAACGTCGATAAAGACAGTTTCAGAGGTGACACGGGCTGCAATGCAGGTAGGTAGGACAAGTAGTGGTCGACTGGGCGCAGGGGTGGGGGGTAACGTCCATTCAATACCATTCTGCTTGTCGATTTCATGGGGCTGTTGTTGGCCCGCCAAGCCATCTTGTTCCTCCCTTTGATCTGGTCCTTGCGTTTCACGGGTCAGTACTGATTGGGGCACTTCTGGAGGGGTCCGCGTCGGTGCAGCCGTCCGTGAGCATCTCTCTGCACTTAGTGTTATCAAGGTCTGCATTGTGGCATTACTGCGCGTCGGTGTCATCAGCGACGGAGCCGTGGGTGGTTCTGTGGCCCCAGTTTCACCATCGTGTTCCTGCGCTTGCGTTTCTATGGGGCTTCCTGGCCGGGTAGCACCTTGTTTGGAGCAGTGTGTGTCTGTGGTGACACTAGGAGGCGAGAGACCCGAGTCGGTATCAGATGAAGGGGCTTCGTACTCGTTTGCTTGTCGAATGCCGAGGCCTATAATACCCGGGAAACGAGTCCTTGTCCGCTTGTCTAAATCATTCGAAGGTCGAAGGTCGTAGTTTGCGCTGACTGGTAAGCCAGGTTCCGGATTGGGGGTGGTGTTGAGCCTCGAGGGTGAAGTCGAAACGTCGTTGTCGGTTGACTCGGTTGACTCGGATGGGTTTGACATCGGAGAAGTCATTACGAGTCTCGGATTTCCCAAGGGTATTAGTTTGAATGGTCCCCCGTGGAGTTGTCGTGGAATCCCGGGCGGTATCTTCGGTATGAGCATAAACTTCTCGCAGTACTCGGTATACAGAGCTGTGCTGACCGGAGGGGTCATGTTACAAACACGCCCTTCGCGTTCCGCCTTGGCTTTCTCGAGAAGATATATGCGTGTATACTCCATCGCGGAGAGTCGCGGCGCTGCCAGTTTGAAAGTCCATCCGGCGTCTCGCTCAGAGGCTTCAGGTTCATGTGGGAGCGACGGCGTTCCTTTAGCACCAGTCCGCATGGTGTGCGATGTGCTCAAGGCGATGGGCGGCATCTGAGTGAGAGCAGGGCTTGTGGACATTGACGGCTGGGGTGATCTGAATGAATCATTTCCAAGGTTAGGACTGGGGTAGTCCGCAACTCCTGCCACAGGTCTGATGGGATTCGAAATCTGCGTCTTGTCTACCCTCTTCGTGCGTTTAGTGCGTACTTCCGTCGTCGTTGGGATCAACCTATTTGACTTATTTGTCGAAATGGACCTGGCTCCTGGGGTGGGACATGCAGTATTAGTATTAGGCCGGTCTTCGGATAGGACTTGCGGAAGGGGGAACTGCTCTAAAAGATCAGTCATCGACAGTGGGCCGTCCCGCTCTATCTGGGAGGAGCTCCTCATTCTTGCCAGAGACTTGACCTTGACCATCATGTTGGAGCCTCGGGAAATGGACATGGAGGACGACCTTCTGGTCCCGCTTGAGGATTGTGGCAGCTCGCCAGTCTCCTCGGATCCGGTGTCGTAATCATAAACAGGGTCCCTGCTTCGAAGTTCCTTGGGAATAACCAAGCCTAGGAGGGCTTGCTGTTCCACAGAGCGACCCATTTCGCGGGCCAGGGGGTGTTGATAGAACTCAGTCTTGGAGACATCGTCGGGATACGGAATAATGTCAGGCTCGTCGAAGTCGCCAGCCCAGCAATGCCCGTCTGTTTTAGCCCCCGAGATTTCTCTTCCTGGGTAGCCTAGGAGTAGCGGTGTCACAACCGAGCCTTCGGCCGTGAGAAAGGACGACATGTCTCGTTCGACTTGTCTCATTGTGTTCGAGTCGTCCTCTGTCTGTGTTGCCGTTGCGAGGGGGGTTGCCTGTATGCTGTCGTGCGATTTGCGCTCTGCGCCATGAGAGTCGGTCATTGCAGCGGTATCTGAGGAAACACGGTGATCATGCCCGAAGTCCACCTTGGAAGTCGGTAACAAAATGGTTCCCTAGCGATAGTTCTTGTCCGTCCTGATGTGGGCATCAGACCTCAAGATTATCCTGGGGGGCAGCAAGGCTTGCTGGGCACAATTAACCGACGGGTGTATTTTGGTTTGCTGTGGTCGATGCTGTCCCTTCGTATGCATAGTTAGCCCTTATAAGTTATAAAGAACTGGCGAGACTGAGGCTTACGGTGAAAAAGGTTGAAGAGGTAGGCAAGTCAGGAAGACGGCTGATCAAGGGACGGGGAAGGCACGGACTTGGGCTGCTGCTTCCAAAAAACAAAGTGCCAAAGTTGAGTGAGTAATCGTAGGATGTGAGTACTACGTACCTACCTGGGCACCTGCCTAACCTAAGGCAAGGCAGGCAGCTTTTTTCCAAGCAAGCGTTACCTTAATCAGTTCTCATCAGTCAAGACAAAATACCAGGTAATAAGAAACAAATGACTATGGAGGACATAAACTAATCGAGGAGGCCAAAAGAGTCCGGGAGGTTTGCTTGGCGAGGCGGCGTGGGGAGTAATCCTCTTGCCTCTTTTCATCGACGTGAGATGCCGAGACGTCGGGTTTCTTTTTTTACTTGCCTTCCCATTTGATATCTCAAGGGACAGCGCTTCCCATAGTACAAAGTAGAACGAGGAACTTCATGCCTATATTCATGTTATCATAGAATGGCATACATAACATAGTGATGGTGTCATGCCTGGCTGGTGGAGCATGTTGTGAGAGCTACGGATCGTGATATGAGGAAGCGAGCCCCAGCGTCTAGACTGATACCAGTCGAATACTAGGGAACGGCATCGCACAGAGCAAGTAAGCACAATGACTTCTCTGCCATAAACCTTTACATCGATCGATAAAGGTGGAGGGTATACTATAAAGACAGTAGGTATGAGGGTCCCTTGGGTAGGTAGCTGGTTGAAATGGTCGAATGCTTCAGAGAAAGAATGACGAAACCGAAATGACGTTGTCCTGATCCTGTGCCTCTCTGAGGTACCTTACCTTAGGTACCCGGCCACTGTATCTGCCTCGTTCAAGCCACACGTGGCGCAAGGCGTCAAAAGCAAATTAGGGGTCGTCTCCCGTGGCTTAGCGTTCCACCAGAAACGGTTAACGCTAACCCACGTCGCCCAACGGTCACCTTCTCCCCGACACTTTCCTCCCTCCTCTTAATGTCTACAGTCCATTCGCCGTTCCCACGGCTGCCGCTCTTTCGGACTACACGTCTTTACAATTACTGGTTCATTTCCATGATCACCTCGAAGAAACTATAGGTCCAAGTCGACTGCCGGGCCATGTCGCGGCTGTCGCTGAGGGCTTGGCCAATCCTGCGGCCCTTACAAGTCAGCCGAATCATACCATGGTCACATGTTCCTGCGTCATGGTTGGGCACACCGACTGCTCCAGTACGCGTAACTTTCTCCACACAAAGTTCCAAGAGGACCGGTACGTTACGTGTGCTTTCTTCTACTTATACTTCTATCTTCTATCTTCTTCTTCTTCTTCTTCTTTTCTTTTTAGACCCTTTCCCCATATTGGTCTCGGTGAAGTTGCCCAGAGTTTCTGCACGACGAGCAGTCGTTCAGTCAGTCCCTGACTATGGCGACTCCGGCAACCCTGTGACTCCGGCCTACGACTTCCTGGACGCAATAGCAACAGGACACGCTGGCCGAATTTACTTCGAGAACCGGCGACGGCATTTATTTCGCGACGACGACACGTAGCCAATGCACGATCATGCACAGCACAGCATGGACAATATACCATGCCAGGCAGACCGATAACGTATCTGATGCCTCCACGTCTTCAAGGGTCTGACCAAAGTGGTGCACCGGCCAGGTCGTCCTTCCCGAAACCGCCGGCCAAGTGGCCACACTTATACTACATTGCAATAGCCTTTATAACACTGGATGCCGGGTTGGCTTGCTCGGAGGAGCTCTTTGGGGTCTTGGAATGCCGTGGCTGTGGTTGATTGCCGAGACCATTTTGCCGTAGTCCGTTCAAGGAGTTGTTGCTGCCCTCCGTTCTGCTTGGCACCGCGTGCGCTGACCGATGTAGCCCAGCAGTCTGACCCAGAACCGTCGTCGACATCGTCCCACAAATATGAAGAGCCATCGCTTCCGAAGAAGATGCTGGAATCCGCCGCGACATCCTTCGCCTCTATTCTCGTCCTCGCCGCAGGTTTTGGCATTGCCGCCTATGTCTATCATAGGTCATACAAGCTCATAGTCTTGAAGAAGATGGCCCGTGCCTTTGAGCCCGGCGATCCGGTTCTCGAACTCGCTGCCATTGGAAAAGGAGTACCCATGTCTCCCGCGGACGCCGACGATCGCTGGGTGATGCGGCCCGAGCAGAAACGTGTCGACGAAATAGTTCGAGGAGAGGAAGTCGGTCACTACCATCTGCTCATCGGCGACAAGGGTACCGGCAAGAGTAGCATGCTCATTGAAGCGATGCGCAAGATCGATGGTGACGGGGTGGCCATGTTCGAGGCCCACGCCGATCTCGAGATTGTCCGCATCCGCCTTGGCAAGGCTCTCGACTTTGAATTCCACGAGGACTACATTGGCGGCTACTTCAGCGAGCGGGGACCGCGCGATTCCACCGCACTCTTGGACATCGAACGGGCCCTGAACAAGCTCGAAAAGGTTGCCATTAAAAAGCGTGCCGAGCGGGAAAAGCCCCTGGTGCTCATCATCAACCAGATGCACCTCATCCGCGACGACGAAGACGGCAAAGACCTGATCGAATTACTCCAGCAGCGCGCCGAGCAATGGGCGGCCGCTAACCTCGTGACCATGATATTTAACAGCGACGATTTCTGGGTGTACGAGAGGCTCAAGCAGCTTGCCACGCGGATGGACGTCCTGCCTGTTTTCGACTTGCCAAAGCAACGGGCCACCACCGCCCTACAGAAGTACAGGTTAAAATACTTCAACGAGGAGCTTACCGACGAACAACTTGAACAAGTGTATAGCCTCGTCGGCGGACGGCTGTCCTTTCTCAACCGAGTGGCCAAGAGCCGGGATATGTTGGCAACATGCAGGAGGATATGCGAGACCGAAAAGAAATGGTTCCTCAATCAGTGCTGGATACTGGGCCAGGAAATGGACGACGACGTAATGAATCAGCAGAAGTGGGCTGTAAGTAATTCACACCTGCCTTCCCACACCCTCACCCTTCCCCCCTCTTCGGGAAGCCTGGTCCTTTACACCGCACCTCCTCTTCCTGGATCAGTTTTGCCAATCGACAAGGGGCTAACAGATAACGTCAACAGGCTGCCGCCATGGTTCTCGCTTCAGCCCTGGTCGATAAAGAGGCGTCTATGGATACATACGACTCCAACAGTGGTCACAAGCTCCCTTCCTTCCCATTACATACCGCTCAGCAAATCATGACTCGCGCCGACCTCATTCGCGAGATGGACCGCCTCAACCTTTACTCCATCACTTCAGAGGCCGAAGTCAGGGCGTCGTCCGTGCCGATGCATCATGCTTTCCGGGAGATCTGCTCAGAGCCCAGCTTCCATGAACATCTCGACGCCACTATTCTCCGCATAGCTGACATTGAGAGTCTCGGCCGCCAGAGAGAGCTGGTGGCTAAGGATCTCGCGCTCGGAGGGCATTACGAAATAACGAAGCAAGGGAAGGATGGCATAGCTGTGAAATTAGTTCCGGGCGAAGATCGAGGCATGTATCCTGGCTGATACAGCACATTCACCTTTGCCCGCCGATGGTACCCCCCCTCACGATATGGATTTGGTGGTCTGCTTGGCACGAAGCAAGGTCCCTTGAACGGACCATACCGGAACGCTAGTTCCTCACCCTCCATTCTGCAATGACTCTTACCCCTTGGGATGTTACTATGTAAGCTACCTTACCGTGGAAAGATAGAATTTCGTCTATATTTGTAAAAATCGCCCATATAATGCAAAAAAAAAAAAAAATTTGAACCACGGTACACGAGTTTGTTGGACAGAGAACAAGTAACAGCAAAGAACTGGCAAGGAAGGGGCGAGCACCCAATTTTATATTCTTCATATTCGTTGCGGCACAACGCACATTCCAGTCATCTCTGCCGACTGGGACCGACAAGACTCAGCCTGGAGGCATAAGGCGGTCTGAGTGGGTCTGCGAATTTGCTACTATGTTGTTGAGTTGGGGTATATAACGCCAAGAAATGTCGCCATGCCGTAACCCTGGAGAATGCGAAAAATATAAGACAAAAAAGAAAAAGCGACACCAAGACATGTTGTCGTAAGTAGCATACACCACCCTTGAAACTCCCTATGCCCTGGGTCATTTGTTGAACGCCATGATGATGATGATGCTGATGATGTGAGGATAACGCTGCAAAATAAACGAGAGAACCAACACGAGGGTATACCCAAACGCGATAAAGCTGGATTGACAGAAGATGACCCAGGCAAAAAAAGAAAAAAAGAAATGCGGAACCCAAACGGATTGGAACAACGCCAGAGTCGAAGAAGACAGCCCAACATAGACGTGGACTTCGTGTTGTTAATGCACCAGTGGCATGGCTAGGTGCAAAGATAGTCTGCACCCATCTTCAGGGCGATACTCTGCCAGTCCCAAACCGAGTACCAGTCTCCTTCCTCCATCAAACGCCAAACCTCTTCGAGCAGCTCGAGGACCCTGTCGCAGTTGCGGAGCCCGGTATAGCCACGGACCTGCCTGATGACTGCAATAACTCGACTTTGCTGTGCTTGTTCGAAACAAGCAACTCCCAGGATCTGGCAAGGGACCAAGAGTAGCGTGAGCGCGGGATCGAACGGCTTGAACCCTTCCATCAGCGTTAGAGACTCTTCTACCGCGGCCGTTATTCGAGCGTCGTGATGAGGGGGACGTCGGATGGGAGCGGGCGAAGCAGGCGACTGCTCCAGGGATGTCGAGTTATTTACGCTGCACTGGGTCTGATCCGATTCGTGCGTTGAGCTGGTTCTTGACGGATTTCGAGACCCGGGGGGGCTATGCTGTTGAAACGCCATGGGCGCGGCACAAGCAGTAGTCGGTGGCCCTTGGCTGGGTGATGAAGAGGAGCTCGAAGCGGTAAGTGGCCGGGATGATTGCGACGCACGACGCGACGTCGCAGGGGAAACAGGCATGTTAGCTGTGATGAGATTTGACGGAATCCAGGGTAGTTTCCCGGACGTGGTTGGTGGGTAGATGGCCCGAAATAGGTGCAAGAACATCATGTGCTTGTATACGAGTCCCACTCGGTGCCGACTATCCCCGGCGGGCCACGAGGGGGACCATTGCTCGATGGCCTCCTGTATCTCTTGTGCCTGCCAGAGAAGATGGTAATCGACACGTGTTTCCGAGCCAAGGTGGATATTCCTCCGGATGGTATCTTTGATGGTTGCGATGTCGGTAAGGTGCTGAAACAACCCGTCGCCCACGCCCAAGAGCCGTGGCGACTCGATGACAGTATGCGGGGCCCAGTCGTGATCGCTGAGACGTGGGAAGTTCATTCCAGGATGCCACAGAAGCTCGTCGGCGAAGATATGGTACTGGAAGAACTCGGTAATAAATGCGAGAAATGTTGGATCCTCCGGTGGGGTTTGTTGAATGAGCCTCTGGTAGCCACGGAGATGGACGCGGTGCTCGCCATGCGGGTTGCCCTCGATGAGAGTGCCGATGAGCAGGCAGAGAATCTGGGCATATCGAGCACAAAGGATGGTCCGATGATCCACTTCCTCCTCGTCTCCAGAGCGTCGAATGTCGGCGTGGAAGGATTCCAGCGCCTGCTTGTGGTGGTACTGCGACCTTGTTTGTAGCGCTTCTCGACCGGTGGTTGGGTTCTGCCGCAATAGCTTGATGCCGTACGGAGTATCGTAGTCGATGTGTTTACTGCTCATGGCGAGAATGGAGTGCATCACGCCCTGGTGCTGGTTGGCCAGAGGTAGAATAATGTCTTTGAAGGCGTTTCTGGCTTCGCCTTCCACGGTGAGTACGTTGCTCAGGCTGACGCAGTAATGCTTCCAGAATATCCTGTCCTCCACGGTGACAACGCCGTGGAATAAGGGCTGCATGTTGAAGACCAGAGAATCTTCGTTTCCTTGATAATCTGGCCGGTTTGTCAGAAACATGTATCCTCAGACGCTTTGTTGTTTGTTTAGACTGATGTGCGAAACTCGTACCATCGCTGGCCTTCTCCTTCCCACTCTTCCAGAGCTTCTTCTCGTGGTAGCCTTCGCAGAGCACGGCGTTCTTCTCGCAGTTCATGCCTATTTTTCGCAGGGTCAGAAATGTCACCCAAGGCTGGGGGGCTCACATCGAGGCTTTGCCTCATCACACTTCTTTTTCCGCTTCCGGCACGTAATACACCCAGTCTTCGACCGCCCCTTAGTGACCTTTCCTGTATTGACCGCGGAGGTTTGTGGGTGTTTTCGGGGCCGGCCCCTCGGTCGTTTTGGTTTTCGATGGGTCGGGGATGGACCATGTGCATCGTCGTGAAGGGTAGGGGTTTCCTTTACGTCGTCTAGACTGAAGTCGTCGTCCAACGGTTCCAGTTTCGGCATCGCCAAAGCGTCATCTGAACCTTGGTCCCAGAGCATATCGGTGTCTATTTCCGTTTCCTCCTCGGCGACCCTCTGCTCACTCGTCCATGAATCGGCGCGCGCTGAGAAAGGAGGAATCATCGAGTTGAGGGGCGGCGGCTCGAGCAGAGGAATGTCGACACAGTTGCTCATGGGGGAGAGTTGGCCCGTGGGTAATTGTGGGATCGCGGCAGTGTCGTCGCATGTCGCGTGTTCTGATGATGATGACCCGGCACGGGAGGTTTCATAGCAGAAGGTCGAAGACGGGCCGTGATTATCAAGCTCTCCCTCGTCGGCTAATGTGGGAATTGACGGAACGACCATTTTCCTCCCTTTTCGTTTCCCTTCCTGCTTGAACACAATACCATGCCACTCGGGTATGCGGTAACGATGGAGAAACTCGCCAAGGTTGAGAAGATTACCGGGCAGGCGAGGCTGGGCGGAGAGAGATCAGGAAGGCAACGTGGTGGTGGGTGTGTTTGGCCCATGAAGTATGGGCAGGTTAGTTACGGAGAAGAAGGCGAACGAGAAGAAGCAAAAGACAGAGGAGCCAGGTCGAGAAGAGCCCAGCAACGGGCCGTCGTGGGGAGGAGGGCGAACCGGTCGCTGTGAGAGAAGGGGGGAAGTGGAAGGGAAGGACGCATGGGAGAGTGGAGATCTTTGTCGTATTGGGGATAAGGCATGAGACGATTTGGGACGAAGTGTTGTGAGGGGTGTGCTGGGGGATCAGGACGCGGGATGCGTCGATGGGGTTGTCGCTGCTACCTACGAATAATTACATATCGGCAGGTGGGAGGTGCCGCACGCCGAGACAAAGCTACTGCACACTACCTTACATAAAGGTACCGAGTAACGCTGTTTAATTGGTCCCCGTGCCCATAGGTTCGAGTAATAACATAAGATGGATATTTCGGAATAACTTCGGATGGGTCTCAAAGCATCAGGGTCTTCCCCGGTAGATCAGGTACCTTACGAAGGTACCTTCCTTACCTCACGGATGGTACACCGATCCGACCTCGGGATTCGCTAATGGTCTTTGTTTTATTCCTTTTTCTCCTGTATGTTTCTTTTAATCCTTTATATAAGGGTACTCTTGTCCTACTAGCACTGGACTTTGTGTCTTGCAAGGTTGCACACCTTGGGTGCTCCGTAAATCCTGTTAGAGATGGGAACCAAAGTGGGGGTTGGTTTTGCCAAGAAACGATGGTCCTGGCAATTGGTGCCGTGCAACCCGGAGAAGGCAAGGAGGCGGAGCAGCTTACAATGTACTGTATCAATTAGCATTGGCTGTAGAGGTAGGTAGGAATCCCCGTACATATCATCACGTCCAGACGAAGTACACATATGCACAGTTCTTCTCCTTACCTAAGGTAGTATTGGATATAATCTCCTCCTAAGTGTTAAGTAAATCGTATAAGAGGAAGTAATATGATACGAAGTACGGAGTAGAATTAAGTTCAGTGTTGGGGACAGGATCAAATGAGGGGGTTGGGGGTAAAAGTGCGGGTGGACCTGGTGACCAATTGGCGTTTGCTTCCCCTTACCTCGCCAAGGACACTTTGTAGGAGAGTGGATAGGAGACGAAGCTTGGCATACCGCTTAGCAAGGTCTTGGCCAATCTTAGACGGGGAAACCTATAGTTGTAAAGTGAAGGGGTACTAAAGTACCTAGAATAATAAATTCTGTCCGCGTTAATTAATTCCCTGTATTATTATAGTCCTAATAAATAAGCTACTTATAATAACGAGGAGAATATATAGGAGCCTAAACGTAATATACCGGATAAGCTTATTAATACCTACTTTAAGTAAAGGCTAGCCGGGGATAGGCCTAGAGTACTATAGAACCACGACTAGCCCTGTTAAGTTCTTTTTTCTTCCTTTTGTTTAATTTTCTCTCCTTAAATAGTTAAGCCTTTTTCTTCTCCTAACTCCTCCCCTTAGGTAGTCAAGTATTATAGTTATAACGAGATTATCGAGTAGGTAGAATAAAAGTAGCGACCGGGCGTACCCTAGAAGTTATTAAAAAAAAAACTAGTCGTCGAGATATACTATTAAGCGCTTACTATAGTTATAGGTCTTTAGCATAACCCTTACTTAATCTCTACTTAATCTTCTATATATACTATTATAGATGTCTATTACGGTTATGGATTATCGGCGTAACTCTTTAACTCCAAATCTAATAGGGTAGGTACCCAAGGACCCTCCCCGTTTTCCTTTATATATACCTCGCTTTACCCCGTAGTAGTAATATTTCTACTTATATAGGTATTTATAGTATAGGCATAGGACTATAACGGGGTCTCTAGGAGATCTATGCCTAACTAAGCGCTTCGGACCTCGGGGATTAGAATATACTAAGGGTAGATATTAGGAAAGAGCGAATAGAATGCAAATCATATAGTACCTATAATAAGAGTCTCTACTACCTAAATTAAGGACATAAGAGACTTACACAGATATAACTTAGTATAATACACATATATAAGATTTCTACTCTATCAGAATTACTATATACCTGCTATATTAACGTGCGATAACTTATAGAACACGGCGGACGTTAAAAAATTGAAAATCCGAGGCGTGAAAAGGAGAGAAAACGGAAGAGGATAGAGTTATAGAGGCGTTAAAGAAGATAGCCCCAAAAATAATATGCAGTCACTATTTCTGCCTAAAAAGGAGGAAGACATGAAGGTAAACGGGGTATAAGAAGGAAGGACATAAATTTCTTTTTTTAAATATATTATATAACGGCACCGGCTCTTTATATAGATTAGAGGGATATCGGCGCCGGGGTTTTATATAGATTAAAGGGATACCGATACTAGCTTATAGTATAGCAATAAAGTGACTAAGGACAGGATTACAATAGGTCTAGGACGGGTTCTTATATTAGATTAATAATAGGAGGATATTAGGAACACAGGCCTAACGCCGGGTATAGTCGGGAAAGGTAGCTATATCCGACGCCGGCCGCTTATAAGAATAAGAGTACTCCGGGGGAGGTCGCCCTATTAGGTGTCCCTGCCTAGAAGATAAAGATCGGGGCTAGGCCGGGTCTATCATAGGACTATACCGAGCTTAGGTAATGCCCCCTTCTTAGTATAGAAAGAAGTAGCGATTATTCTAATTCTTTAGGACTACCTATGTTCGGACTAGCTATAACTACTACTTAATCCACGCCTGCTCTCTTCTAACCCTCTCGCTACTACCTTTCTACTCCTTATAACTACCTACCTAATATAACGTAGGTAGTAGTGGACTAATACTGATTTATTATAACGATTCTAAGTATCGCCCTTTATAGTATATATAAACTAGCTAGGCGGGGCGGGTCGGTCTATGGTAGTTATATTTATATATAATTACGCGCTATAGAGTTATATAGTACGGGCTACCTAGCAGGGCCCCTTTTCTATTATTAGTGCCTCGCCTGTTATTTACGTCATTATTGTTAGTATTTCTGCGAGGACCGTTCCTGTCGCGATTATTATTATTATTATTATTATTATTACGGCGTTATTCAATACCTTCCTCTTCGTATAACAGCGTATTAAATAGAAGAATAAGATTAATAGTCGTTCCGGAGTTCTGCTTTGTATAGAAAACCCACCACTTCTTAAACTACTAGCATAAAATGAACAGGCTATTAAGGACGTTAGCAGCCAGGGGTTCGTTATTATATTCAACTCTAACGAACTACAGGATTCCACGGAGGTCTTTATACTTAGTGATAAAGTCAGCGATATCTCCGTAATCCTATAGCTTTAAAGTCGAGGCTTCTATATTCATTTTTTGTGCGAATTTGAATATCGTTAAGCTTATACTTATTAAAGGCTTTAATAATATGCTAGGGACGCTTAATATTCTTAACTTCTATCCAGATAGCCTTATTAAGAGTAAAAAGGAGGAAGGTCCTGGCTCTATCATAATTAGCATTATAGTCCTTATAGGTATCGATCTTTATCTACTAGTTTATAAAGAAATACTATATATTAGAAGATATAGAGGGTGCCGGAATCGGCTTTTCCGGGCGGCCGGCTATAGAAACGAGCGTATCTAGCTATTACACGGTGCCCTCGCTAATACCCTTATCGGAAGTGCCGCGGATATAGCACTCCTTAAGCTCCGGGGTCTTAGCCGTAATGCGGTTATTCCCCTAAACAAGGGCCTAATATCGGGCGGCCTTAGCCTTATATTAGGCAGCGTGGAACCAAGGGCTATAGTTCTCGCGACCGCAAAGAAGGGGGACCTTATAGAAGTCTAGGTTATTGCCTATTTTAACTAGATTTAGTGTTCTTTAGCGAGAACAAGAGTCGAATTAACGATAGCCTTAAGCCGTAAAACGATAAGCTATAGAAAGGACGCTATAAGCCGGAAGGGCGAGCTATAGAAGAATAGAGACTAGGTTACAAAGGAAAACAAGGATCGTTCTGCCGGTATAATAATATAAAAAGGCGATAGTGTAGGATATAGTCAAAAAAGGGGGAGGAGCTATCTAGTTTCTAAAAATACCTAAAAAGATAATAACTTATCAGTTACTACTATATAAAATCATAAGATTAACCCAGTAGGGTTATATAGGACATCGTGTTAATTATAGAAATCTATTACTAGGCTTATCCTAAGTAGAATTTAGCTATAGTACTTATATATAGTTATCTTTTCTAGTAAAATACTATCCTTTTATTATACCGAAGCTACTAGAAGCTTCTACTATCTTTGTATATATAGATATATAATCGGTCTTAGCGGTGCCGAGCCGATATAGTTTTACCTTAGAAACTCATAGTAGCCTTATACTAAAAACGCTTTTAAGCGGTTATAGCAGCTTTTTGCCTTATATTCTACGCTATCTAGAAAGAGTAGGGTTATTCAGACTATATATATAGCTCGATTTCCCACCTTAACGTAAAATATTCCTCCCCCCTTTCTTATATTTATATATAATAGTCAAGCAACTCAGATCGACTTAAACACACGCCTATCGACCACGGGCGCGTAACTAGAGTAAAA